TTATACAGGCATATTATACAAGGAATAAGGTATTTTATTTTCAATTTAAAATTCGTAAATTTTATATGAAATATATAATAAACATTCAAAAACGGAGAGGACATTGCCTGTTAGTGAATGCGTGCCGAGCCCTCCGGGACCCTCCGGTACCGTTACGACGGTCTCTTTATATGTCTCCATATTAAACATTGGTAAAAAGAAATTAATTCCTCGCCAACCAATTACAATGACCGCCAAATATGTTTAACATTGTTCACATTTCGGATTACCTTAAAAATACCATAATAATACTTATAAAATGCTTCAATCAAAACATACATTTTATGGAAATAATTTTTAAAAAGTTGTTTAAAACCAATTTAGTATGATTAAAAATTATAATAAACTCCTAATATAGAAAAGCGCAGTAACAAAATTGCAGAATTAACCTATATTTACTTAGCAACTTCCGAAATGATGAAACGGGATAAAAGTTATAACACAATCTGGTCTCAAACTCAGACAGAAGCTTATACTGGTGAGATGAAGAGATTACGGTGGCAATGAACTTCAACTAATTTGGAATATAATGTGTTGGACTTTATGATTAACTGTTACTGGGCCGCTCCATCGACGCGCCCACTCATGCTGCCTCTATTGTTATAATTAATCTGTAATCTGCTGTCTCATTGTATATCTGTTCCCCAAATTTTAAAACCAAACACTTTACATACTAAAAGAAAAAATAATTACTGTCATATTAGCATAATCTTTATATCATTTAAAACACTTCAGAGATTATTACGATACGTTATTTTTCAATTATAATCATACATTTTTCTATCTATATCATATATGATTTCTTTCATGTTCGAAAAATTTATAACCGGTAATAAAATGTTCAAATTGCTAGTTACCAAGATAAACCCACATATCACGGACGGGTAAACAAAATATTCGCGATCGTATCCGGCATCGAAGCCGCTATAATCGGAGTGCAACGAACTTGCATGTTTACACAGAAAAGGACATGATCCGAAATATATGAGGAAAATATTTTTAATATGAAATCTATGAAATGTATGCATGTAGTGTTAATCTGTAGCCTGTATTCTGCTAGACTGCATTGCTGGTTAAACGAGTTAGTCTTGTAGAATGCATAATATCTAGCATTCCTGATGCAACGAGTCTAGATGACAGCCTCTCCTGTTAATGACACCTGCTTGTTGAAGTTATGTAATAGCTTACATTATCGTCGTCTGAAAGCTATGTTATTTATATTAAAATATTCCTATTGCCTTTTAGAATGTCTCTGAGGCTCTTGAGGTAACACTATATTTGCATTTCTTTATAACGACTAGTTTGTGTCCATAATGATTCGATTATTATAATTATTCCTTCCTATTTTCCTGTTCCTTATTTTTCATAACATTTTCCCTAGCATTAGTTATGGGTTTTATACTAAATGAAACAGTTTTTGTTATAATATTTAGTTTATTAATAACAATCAAGTAACTTTATAAAAATTAAAGATTTGATCTACACAATGCCGCCACATGTTTCGTCTATATAAATTTTATATCTTAACTACGATGGAGATAAAATTTATAAATAGCTCTTGAAAAGAAGATTGAATATATCTATAAAACTTTTTAAACAACAATTTTAATATAAGTTATAATGATTATGAACTAAACATTCATTGAGTCTCAATAAAATATTCTTCTCCGGAAATTTTCATCCGGGAAAGGCTGAAATGAGATGAATAAGATGGAACTGTGATGTATCTGGCGCCAGATGTATCATTTATTTGTTGTATTTATTATTCGCACATGTTAACAAAAGTTTACTAACGCCTGCAGTCATTTGGCAGTCTAAATCGAGCGATGACGGCCCTCGCTATAAATTAGTGTCTGGCTTTTTTGCTATAAAGCATTAAGCTGTATAAAGTTGTTACTTTTGTACGCGTTTTTCTATTTAAGATCATATTTCTTTATGCGTAAGAGCTTTTATACCATATTCAGATAACCGTTTCTTTATATGACACCAAAAAGATAAGTAAGTTTCGTGATATCATCCTGAGTTTAATTCATTATTTTATTTAAGATCATGTAAATTACGATATAATATAAATGAAATATATATTACTTCCATAAATTTTTAATAATCATGTAAAAGTTTATCAAGAATAACGTCATGGAGATTTGACATTTCAGAAACAAAACCAAAAGCCGGATTTAATTATTTGTTAAAGTTTTTTTAAACTTGTTTTATAAAAGACCAGCAATTAGCGGCATTCCTTCCGAACTGACGCCATACGGTAAAAAACCTCACAATAGTTCATGGCTATTTAAATAACTCATAAACATATGTTATAGGTGTTTCAATATACTTTTATATAAATAAATACAAATACTAGAAACTTCGTAGTAATAATAAGTTATTCCAAATTTATATGATTTTTTATTTTCAATGCACAAAGTACGAATCTACCTTGAAATCATTGTAGGATATAATGCATTTTTAAAAAGTATATACATAATAATACTATACTAATATTATAATCTCTTAACAGGTTGTCTATTAACTTATACCCTTTTTTCATGTCAGTTATTCTACACCCAGTACTTAGACACATAGTTTGCCAGTCCATTTGCTGGGTTTTGTGTTACATATTAAGCTGTCTGAATACAGAAGTTTCGTTGGTAATTTTATCAACTTCGTTGTGAAATTAATTGCTAACTTACATTTCTATTTGCTTAACTGAAACTATATGAGAGTTTACTATAGAGAAATAACTAATCCCTACTAATATAAATGCGAAAGTAACTCTGTCTATCTGTCTGTTTCGCTTTCACGCCTAAACCACTGGGCTGATTTTAATGAAATTTGGTACAGAGATAGAGTTGACCTTGAGAAAGAACATAGAATAGTTTTTATCCTAAACTTTTGAATGGTTCTCTTGGAAACGCGATATAACCGAACTCCACGCGTGCGAAGCTGCGAGCGGAAAGCTACATAGTTATAATATATTTTGCCTCTCAATAATAATGACCAATATAACCGCAGAACAATATCAACAAACATCTACCTCTTATTACATTACCGTGATGTCATACTTATTACTAAAAATTGTGCAACCCATTGCATACATCAATATGCAACACCGTATTAACCCAGATGCTGGATGCATGTATTGACGCTATTAATTCTATTCATATTAAAACGTGACATTAAGCAAGTTATAAAATAAAATAATATTGTACTATAAACTTGTTGGCGTAATTCGTAATTGATTGTGTAATAGTCTTAGATGTTTTTGCTCTTGAATTGAATAACTGCTTGGCTATTCTTTTATTGTTGTTGTAATGTTTAAATTCAAGGCTTTACTTGAAGATTAAAACCTAACTCATACAAGAAAGCGGGTTCCGTTTATCGTTAAGTCAGCAAGTACGTGATTTAATTTATACAAACAATGCCATCGACACAACGTGAATACAAATGTTTGTTGCAAATGCCTTTTCTGTTTACGAACTTTTCTTCGGTCGTTTCAAAATACTTTATAAAGAATTCAGAGTAGGTAGAACGCTTTCGTTTTCTCAAGACGTGTATCAAAATATCTATTGACAGAGTTGTTTGAATTGAAAGCCTTAAGTTAGAATCATTAAAATCAAGACATAAAAATATTTCTTTCATATTTGCATATCGTGAAAATATGTCCAATTAGTTGGCTATGTTTAACTAGCGACCTCATGAGTGAGGGCTTTCTACGGAGCCTTCACCGTGACCTTTGACACATTAAATAAGATGTCTACTCGTTTATTTATAAACATTGTTTTAAACGATGTAGACGGCGTGTCGACGTAGCTTTATAACCATGACTAATGAAGAACTCGGGCTAGATCCCCTCACGTACGATGACCCCGCAACGCAACAACTCGATGGAGGTATTAAATTGCTCAGAATGTAAGGACGCTATCACAACCTATAATTGTCTTTGTCTTATCATTTGTATTTCTCTATAGATAAGATTGGCTTCGTTAAAAGATTAAATCTTCATCGACGTGTTTCAATGTGGTCTAATTAAAATATATTTTCTGTTCTATTTAACAATACCGAGATATAATCTAATAAATGATAGTTAATATAGAAATTTCTACTTAATTTTAATAACATAATATCTGGTTTTAACGCAATGATCTCATCTCATAAGTGTTCCATGAAATGCATTGATTTGTGAGTAGTACGAGTTCGGTTTACGGTTCTTTCGGTTGTATTTAATACAAACCAAATACCAAAATTCCAAGATATGCACTTCTAAAATTATAATCAAGAAGATTTACCATAGAAAACTATTGTAATCAAGGTTTTGTTAGCTGATTTTCATTGGAATCAAAACTTTAACTTTACTCGTTTACTATTAATAAAATAAATTCAAATTCATAAACTGATTATGGTCTGGTTAATGGTAGTGTGCAAAACAGAGATATGTGAATGAATGTTGCAATTCTAAGCGAGTCATGAGGCCCTCAGACGTGGGAACGTTGCTTTGTGCTCTGTGTATGAAAGCGTCCTTTGTGTGCGTATTATACTTTTGTTATCAAGGTCTTTTATATATTTTAATACGCTTACGCTTTTTATCGACCAAAATATACCAAATGGTATCGGTTTATTAAAGTATAACAAACTTCAATTGTATAGGTCTAAATAAGTCTTCCATTGTAATTATTCACATCATTTTGATTTGTATGTCCTATTCCAGTCCACAGATAGCTAGACTTATGACAATGTTCTGAATAGTTTGAGAATAGACTAAAGAGAACAATAGAAATAAGCTCCCCCGAGATTTTTGACCCGCGGCCCTGTAAGCGAGATCCGTCTTACAATAACCGCTTCATTCACAATACCACTGCCGCCAGCTGATTATTTAGCTATTAAACGTCAGATAAGAATACTGCAATTATGCTCTATAGCTCAACTTGTCTTTTTTTGTTCCAGATAATGTAACTTGAAAGTTCGAGATGGCGGAAGAAAATAAAAATGCTGTCGTCGCGTGCGATCCGCCTACTAATTTTAATAATTTAGATGCTACTACAAATTCAAACCAGCCATTAGAGAGTAAAGGACACAATATAATTGATATTTCAATCGCTGCTGGAAAAGAAGAAAGTGATATTGTTCCTGTCAAAGTAGATGATTCTAAAAATGCAAATGTCAATGTAAAACAAGATTTAGTAAGAAACGGTTCGTGCGACGCTATAGATGACGTACGGTCTTTGGGAGACCTTGACAGTTTGCCTGTTGGAGATGACTTGGTGTTAGGCGCAGCGGGAAGCGACAGTGGTGTAGAAGGATGTGGCAGAGCTCTCAGTAGCGGCGGTGGATCCAGATCTTGTGCATCTAGTGTTGTTTCATGTGGATCTGGATGCGGATCAGAGAGCTCTTCGTTAGCTGGAGCACCTCCGCGACCACGTCGTCGAGTAAACATCACCGTTCAAGAACCTAAGAGAAGTTCACCGGTCAATTCATCATCAAGGCCCGTAACAGCGCCTCGAGGCCCCAATCTGGCAACTCGCGAGCGCGCAAGAAGTCGGGAAAAACCAACACCCCCAGAAAAACCGCGACCTCTAACACCTAAACCCAAAATACGCCCCACAGCTGATCTTCCCAACTTAGTTCGAGAAAGTCCAGCTCTTCGTGCCAAACCAACAAAAACTTCCACAGCAAGGTGTCGAACTCCTAATTCTCCGGTGGATGAAAAGAAATGGCCAACCAACGGTCACGTGCAGCGACTACCAAATGCAGCTGACGCCTCAGCAACACGCGTGGCAGCTGACAAATACGGAACTTTACCACGAAGGAGAAGGGACGCTGATCCGGAGTCATCTCCAAAACATGAAAATATACCGCCAACCTCAAGAAGGCCGACCGTCACACGGTCTGTTTCGTCTCGATCAACTAAAACGCGTGTAAGGATTTACGCTGAAAAAACATGCCAGACGGTACTCGTAGGGGCTGATATTGAATCGGCGCTCGCTGGATTCGTGCCAAACATTGAAAGGTATTTTATCACAAATATTGAATACTTATCACATCAGATTAGAATATATTAGCGGCATGGCATTGACACTAAAAGCATTATTACAAACTAGTTACTGCAGGCGATTTCGTCCGCTGGACTTTCGATTTGAGTTCAGAAATAGATATTACAACAACATATATATACACATATTAACATAATGACACTTTTCGTCTGTGATAACCTTATTTAAAAAATATATTAATACCATGTTCCTTAAAGAATAACATAGAACTTTCGAATCAATTATAGCCTATATTCTGATTTCTTAACATAAGCAGAAAGTGTCATCAAAATATGTTCAATGGTTTTTGTGAGAAAGAGCAACCAACTTCCATACATAGTAACAATACTTCGTGTTTATAAAATTTGTACGACTATGTTTCTGTTACATAAATTATTTTTTTTATTTTAGACGGGATGTTACCCTTTGTCACCGCGGAGTTCAGGCTAGCTCGCGGGATACTGAGACAGCTCGTCTAGTAGCAGCAGTAGCGGCAGCAGAGGCAGCAGCAGCTGAGGAGAGGGAGAGGAGACAGCACGTCGAAACGCAGCTAGCTGCTGAACGATCAGCAAGACTCGCTGCCATTTCAGAGTTAGAGAGAAACTCACAGAGATTGCTTGAACTAGCCGGCGCTGGTATGTATTAAATATACACTTAAGTTTTCATCTTGTGAACATCCTGTATTCTTATACAATTTACTTAACTTCTGTGACCAATCTTTAAAATAAACTCTTGAACATCCCAAAGTTAATCAGTATACACCTAAGTTTTCATCTTGTGAATTATTTAAAATTAACTTTTAAACCTCTCTTTGTTAGACTGAAATCTAATGAGAAAAATAAATGTATAATTATTATTATTATTATTATTATTATTATTATTATTTATTAAAGGCGCTGGTGCTGGCGCTGAAGGTTGTCTGCGAGCTTTGGAAGAACAACTTCGATCAGCTCGGGAACTGTCCACACGACAACGGACAGAAATAGACTCGCTCAGAGAACACTGTGATAAACTACACGCGGTTAGTGGACATTAGTTATGTTAAACTAACATATTGATATCTTTAACGATACATCTGTCATTCATACGGACGGTATTTAAGAAGCACAGATAAGTTAAGATTCTATCCGAGCGTTACTAACTCTGATAAATTACCACCAATACGTTATCCCATTCTATTTTGAATTATTTCCTTCAATTAATGTCTTCTATATCAACATGTTAATAATGTTTATCTTATTTTGGTGCTTGAATTCTTTTTTAAGAAAAATTATTTTAGTTTGCTCATATTTACAAATAATAGAGTATTTTCTTAGGTTTTACGGATATTGACATTTAAATAGAACTTCAAAGATACATCAAAGATTAGCAAATTATCAAACTTCTTAGCATTCAATGGATTCATCGTTGCAGGAGCTTCAACAGTACTTGGGACTTGCGACCCAGGTGTAGTTATAACTGGCCATGCCTATGTTTATACTATGAATATTCCTGTGTTACAAAAGTACCTAGGACTTGCGACCCAGTTGTAGTTATAATTGGCCCCTGACTATGTTTATACCATGAATATTCCTGTGTTATAGGAGTGGTGTCGCGTGCGTGAGTCTCGTCGTGTATTGTCCGCTCGTCTGTCAGAAGCGGAACGCGAGGCTGCTGAGATGCAAGACTTCCTCGCCGCAGAGACTGGAGCCTTGGGAGACTCGCTCAGGGACGCTGAGGCGGAGATTGAAAGATTAGCTTCTGAACTAGAGCGACGGTATGCAAACACTTTCCCCTTTTTGAGTTACTAAAGACCAATTTAAGTATCAAAAATCTTAATAAACCGGTCATAAATTCAAAACATAATTTTAATAACATTAGTGTTAAATTGAGAATTTATATGAAAATCCTTAATGGATATATATATATACAAAAATGTATTGCAAAGTCTGCAATTAATTAATCCCCGCGTCATATTTTTGGTGAACTTGACACATAATTAAAAATAAACAAATACATATATTTAAAATCATAGCGAATTTTCATGAACGCAGTAAAAATATTAAAATGTTTTATACACGATGTTATTTAAAACGCTAATATTTTGATAACCGCATGAGTAAATTAAAAATATTTTCTAATATTTTTTAATACTTTTTAAATTCTACATTTTATAGAGGATAACATTAAAAAAAATCTGTATCTTCATTTTGAATTGTATCTTCTAGTAAAACTATAGATTTGGACCCTATGTATTTTTAGCCTTTGTCTCCATGACTTTGGATGTTATGACGTCTGTATTGTAAAACAATCGAAATTATTAATAATAACATTGAGTGAAGATTCATATTAACAGTCCTATACGGCACCTTTTTTTAATTTTTCAAAAATTTTATATATCTATATATTCTGTTACATATAGACGCGGCGAGTGTCGTCAGCTAGTTCGTATGTGCGAGCAGCGCCGCCAGGAGGCGCTAGCGGCGAGCGCGCGGGCTCGGCGCGGCGCGGGCGCGGCGGCCGCTCTGGACGCTCTCGCCCGCCGCCTGCACGCGCTCACCGAGGCCGTGCGTGCGGCATACCAGCTGCCCGCACATATCGTGCATCCGACGGTCTTCCATAATGAGGCTTATTGCAGGTACACACGTTGATCATTGATGCTTTATTGTAGTATATAGGATGATTTAGATGAATACAGGAGTATGTCAGGTATTTCACTCACACTAGTATGATTAATGACTTGATTGTATATAGTATTGTTGAAGTGTATACGGAGATTTTCATTGAAATAAATATGTTTATAATTATTTTTATTTCGCAGACACAGAGAAATATTAGTTTCATTTCAATGCACACTCACGACAATCCTATTGTTAGATACCCTTACTGAGCTATCCAATTCATATATTTTATTAGAATCTAATTGCTTCTTCCTATTAACTAAAAAATACAATATATCATAGTGGCTATCTTTTTAACTAATTTTTATATGTTATGTATAGTCGTAGCGACAGCGGCGAGACCCTCTCTCCGTCAGAGGAGCCCCGCGGTCTTTTAGGCGCGGTGTCCCGGGCGCTCCGGTCAGCTTGCACGCCTCTCGTACACATGAACCACGAAGACGATCGCTCCAGACTCTCCGATGACAATGACAACTCCGCTGACTTATTGGACTCAGAGACCGAACCCTGTCTCGTCACGGATCCAGGTATAACTATCATTACTGATTCGGTCTATGAGACCGATTAAGCATACGAACTCACGAGCAGTTGGAATAGATGAGCTTTTTCATTAAAAATATTAAAATGAAAGCAATTAGTTATTCTAACAAGTCATGCCTATCACCTGGTAGAAGATTAGTAGAATGACTTGTTTGTCATAATGAAAATTATATACGACAGAATTACTAAAGTTTTCTTTTCATATTTATTGTAGCAAGCATGATCGTTTATATAAAGGATAATTGTATCTAATATAAATGCATGCTTTAGTGTTTCATGGAAATATAGATAAGATGATAATAACGAACAATTAATTTATTAATATCAATGAACATTATACATATTCGTCCATCAACCTACATAGTAGTACCTTAACATGATTAATCATAGAATACGCGGAGGACTGGTGGTCGGGGGCGGAAGGCGCGGAGGGGGGGGAGGGCGCCGCCGGCTCGAGCAACGACGACCTCAGCCCGGAGAGGGAGTCCGCGGGAGATAACGACAGAGGTTACTATACAATATATGTGTACATTCAACTATGAATCGAGTACTATTACAAATAGAGTACATAATTCCAAAACAGAAAACACTCATAAAATTTAAAGACGCCAAACGATTGCGATCTAAATGACGCACAGCGCCATCTAGTGACAAAATGTCACAATTATACAATATGACACTGACAGACAGCTTCACAAAACGGAAGCGATGGTTTAAAATATACAGCCTATACTTTGTCGGCTGTTTAATTTCAGTCAGTTTATGTTTTGATGAATATGGATATCATATATATAAGGATCAAAACCAAGAGTGGTTGGGCCGATTACTCAAAATTCAGCAAGTATTGAGACCAAAGAGCCTGATATATGATCACAAATACAATTGTTAGTGAGGCTAATAATAAACAACGTCCCATACATAATAGTAACTGCTATTGTCTAAATTGTCAAGGTTTAGTAGAACTTAACTATCAGCACCGCAGCATTTAAAACAAATGTCTTCTTTTAGAAGCTAAGCAGAAAAGCCTCTTGGCGATAAATATGCACAATTTACTATTCTTTTAACACAATTTCATATTTGAAATATATACATACTCGTATATAATATAATTAAAAAGTAAACAAACAAAAGTTTTAACGTACTTGAGCAAGTAAATTAATCGTGGTATTTTTTATCAACAATAAAATGATGAGATTTTTTATATTAATCATAATGAATTTGGGCGGATGATTAAATACCAGCCAGTATTCAGAAAGAGAAAACCAAGACTTACAGACAGTCCTCCAAAAGATAGCCGGATATCAGTTACTTCTCTGATATATACAGGGTGACTGGTGAATTACTATCGATATTTGAGGACGTGATATTTGACGATCATATATGACAAAATAAAAATTAATATAACATAAATATTAATAAACTTCTAAGTAAAGTTAACCAAAAGTTATGTAATTAATTACGCATCGTGTGAACACCCTACAGATTAGGTATACACTCACACTCACACATACGCGTGTCGCGATGTGGTGTTGTATCAGCACGACGCCGCACGCGTCCACACTTGAACACTTGGAACGTGTCAACACTTTACTTATTTATACGGAAATTTTGTCAAAAATTAAGTGCCTATTTTTTTACATGATTCGAATGAGAATCATGTACCGAGTATTCTCCTTAAATATTGATAGTAATTCACCAGTCACCCTGTATATAGCAATACAATGATGTCAATCAATAAAATTCATTTTACACATCTCACCTTTTCGTTTACTATTAGTGGCTACAGACATATAGAGTTTATTTTGCCTGTAACTTTCACTACATATAAAAGTTATCATGATTCGCTAATCAGACTTATAAATGAATGCCTATAAGGAAAAAGGTTTTTAGAATCAATAAGATGTACCGATCACCTATGTCTTAAAAAATTCTTTAATATATTTTATTATTTTTTTAATACTCCACACTATTTTACCTCCATGCAAATTCCCTCTTTTATAATATTCGTGTAACACTTAACGATAATGCTATATCACTTCATAATTCCATCATTTATATTCATATATTTGTCGTATACAGAAGTGGAGGGGTCTGCTGAGTCTTCGGTGTCGGAACGGGAGTCGCTTCGAAAGTTATCAGCGGCTATCTCGAGGCAGCGCTGGGAGGCTGAGGCGGAGGCAGACGAGGCGGCGCGTGGAGCTCTGCTTGATAGGGTGTTGTTGCTTGACTTGCGTCTGGCCGACCTCTTGCGAGCTCTAGCAGCCGCCGCCTCGGCCTCGGCGACCTCGACTACCGCCGCGACCTCTTCACCAGACACCACCGCAGCACTCGTCAATGCACTCAGGTATATTACTCTGTGCCATACCTGAAGGCCGCGGGCTGGGCGAAAGCGTTGCCGCGGCCTCTTTCCACCTTTTGTGGCGAGGTGAAATTAGGCTGGTTTTTTAGTGGGTAGACTGGCTGCTTAAACCTAGGAGTCCCACATAACCACAACTGCCTACCCCGGGTAGAGTGCTATGCGAAAAGCATTTGTCCAGCGTTAACAAAAAAAAGGTATTTTACTCTGTTGTTCGATTTTTCAACACACACATTGGTACTTGTCGGGTTCAAACCTGGCAAGTACCAATGTGATTTTTCCGAGTCATATGTACTTTCTGAGAGTATTTAGACACCACTGACATACAAGGAAAACTTCGTGAGGAAACCTGGACTTATAGTTTCACTATTATAAGTTTGAAATCACCAACACGTCTTGAGCAGGCGTGGTGATTAATGCTCAAACCTTCTCCATGTGAGAAAGAGGCCTTTGCTCAGCAGTGGGCGCTGATAGGCTGATGACGATGACGACGTTCGATTTTTGAAATAAAATAGAGAGAACAATCCTCGCACAAAACAACTACCTATTAATAAAAAAATATATGTTCCAAAACATTATCCTTATGTTTTATAATTTCCAGAGACAAAATAGAGGTTACAGAAAAGAATGTTGCCGACGTTGTTGTGAAGAAACTCGCCGAGCTTGAAGCTTGTAAGAACCTCATAGAGCAGTACCAACAAAATATAGAAGTGAGTATATTGAAGATAATAATAATTATTATTATTGATAACTTCTATTAAAAACATAATATCTAATGTCTAAGTGAAGTGTAGCGAGTAGTGTCAGTGGCGTTAACTGATGTAATGTGAACCAAGTATTTACACCATTCAGGGCCTGCTCGCTGATCTCGACTCGAGACTGACACAAGGTTAATACACACTAGCGCTTACACGCACACATTGATGCATAATACTTGAGAACAAAAGATATACATACTCTTTTATACAGAAAATAAAAGAATTCTATTTTCAAAAGTCTTTTAACACAAAAATAAAAACATTTTATTTTCAAAAGTCTTAACTCAGAGAATAAACACGTTCTATTTTAAATATATAAAAATATAAAATATACTTGATTTTTTCTTATTACATAATCTCTCAAATACACTTTACTGAAATAATCATCGTAATGAAGATATCACACGCGGCTTCCCAGCACCGTGTACATATTGGTATAGAATATAATGTATATTACACTTATTTTATGTTATTTTTGTTCTTTATACCTTAATATATCATAAAAATAAGTCTTGAAGGACCATTTAAGTCTTAAGATTTCTTTTATAGTTAAAAATATTTATTTCCTGCATTCTATGGAATGGTATAGGATATTTTTAATTATTATATTGAACCAATAACCATGCATGTTAATCAAATTTAATGTACCACTAAATATAATCACGTATACTTATAAATAATACAGCTTTTTTGCAAAACAGGTAATTATTATTTGCAAAAAAATAAATTAGTACATATCCACAGTATTCTCTTGATTGTTATGAGATATAAATTACTAGCTTTTAAATTATTACTGAGTACTGACCATGAAGTACAGCCAAGCTTTCCCTTATTTTCATAGCTTCGAGATAAGTATAAGTTATAGTACACATATCCATAGATCTAGTATGTATATTATATTATAGTTAACGCTTTTAGATTACAAGCATAAAAGTAAAAATGTGATAACACATTACTTATTCTTAATTTTACAGGCGCTCAAAAACCAGGTCGTTCAGCGCGTTGAAGAAGACGATACTGAGCTAATAGAACAGGTCCGTATTTGTTATATATAGCTGAAACATTAAATAATGCATAGTTGCTGAAAATTTTCCTAAAAAAATATTTCCATGTATATATAAAGTTTGTTTCATAACAGGAATTAAACTCTTGTGATCCAAATGAGCGAACTCGGAGATGCGAAGCCGTGGAAGCGGCGTTGAGTGCCTTACCAGCACGTCCGCGTCTGTTGCCGCTCCGCGCCCGACTGCAGCGGCTGGCGCGAGCGTTGGCCCCCGCGTCTCCCCCCACCCCTCCCTCCGCGCACGCCTCACCCGCCGCCACACCGACCGCCTGCACATAACACGGGAAGTTATTAATTAAGTACAGTAATACCCCGCTTTACGCGAGGGATACGTTCCGAAGAAAATCGCATTAACTGAAATTCGCGTATATCGAGGTTTATGATTAAACACAGTCAAAATTTAATACACAAATATAAAAATCATTTTAATCAATCACTTTAATTCTAAGAACACTATACAATACATAGGTACTCCTATTTTTTACGAAAAAATACATGTATTGTCTTTTTGGGTAGCGTTTTGTTTACGTTCTTGTAAAATACGTTCATAACACCAAACCTGAATAAATTTTTTAAAATCGCGTTATAGTGAAACCGCGCACAACGGGGTCGCGTTAAGCGGGGTATTGCTATATTGTCGTGTTGTGACGAAACTCAGGTTTCAAGAAGTTAATACGGTTTGTAATGAATTGGTAATTGTATAGTGTGTATTGAGATATACGAGTGTATTTGTTCGTAAGTGGATATATCAAGGAAGTTACCTTTTCACTTCTTTAGATTCTAGAATATTCTATCGAGAATTTTTGACTATCCAATCTAAACAGGTAACAATTTTATTCGATTTATGATCAGATGGTTTTGGAGATTGATTATTGGAGATTTATTGTTCAGTATTTATGAAATTTTATTGTCATATTATGTTACTAACTTTTATTTTAAGTATCTCACATTTTAGTAGTATTACGTGACGCCATCTTTTGATCAAAGTTATTCGATCATTAATTATGACTTAAGTTATCTTAAAATTTATCCGCGGGCGGATCGGAAACTAATAAACATTGAAATTATTAATAAACTAGCGCAAATAAAAATTTATAAATAGAGATGATTATGTACTATAATTAATAATATTCTAAGTACAATATACAATAAGTATAATGACAAAATAATTTAAACCATTTTATGTTGACGGTGCTTTACTGAACTTTGAATTACAAATAGCTTAAGAATCTATCAGTTATTTAAAAATCAAACTAGCATTGATATTTAAAAATCATTTGAACTACAATAGGTATGTCTATGAATGCTTATTTACTATAGAATTATTTAACACTAAGGCTTCTTCATAAAAATAACAATTGCTTCATTATACTTTAATAAGATTAAATAACCATAATTTCTATTCTAGAATTTTTTATGCCATAATTAATAATGTATCAGCCAGAATAATTACGTTGTGTAATGACATATTTTATTGTTTATATATAAGTAAATAACACGTAACAAATAATCACTAACAGTTGTTGGTAACTCATAATATTTTTTGTATATTAATTCGATTCTCGCGCCCCTACCGGTGCCAAAGAATATAAAACTTCCAAACCCCGAATTTCATAGTCTTCTTCATGTATTTTAAAACACATTAAACTTCAAATATTATTTCACATGTGATGTGAAATTGTTACCGAATTAATAAAATTATCCAAAGATATAATGTTGCAAATAAAGAAATATTGTATTAGCCAAAAATATTGTTAGCAAAAAAGTTAATAGGAAAATCTGTAATATTAGATAGCGAAGTGATAAATGAGAAATCGTTTGATGTGGATTTCAAATTCTCAATATTTTGGTAATGTATTATTTTTTATAAACGCTGCTAATAGTCGCAAACCACGCCATTTAACTGTAAAATCATCCGTCCTGCACGTCAGCGCTTGCCATTAATGACAAATAATTTTATTTAGAAACAAATATTGAAATTAAAAACGTTTTGAAGAGATTGGTATAGGCATGGGGTAGTGTATGTTTAAATAACCTTTTGAACTTTACAACCATACAAGTAGACATCGTAGTAATGTAGGATAATAGCACGGAGCTGCAATAATATTATATTTTCAAAAGTACATAAGCAATTGGTAATATATTTATTATTGATCTCAAACTGTTTAATGCAATGTATGTAATGTTTTTTTTTCTTTGATTGTTCTAGTTGTCAAATAAAATACTTTTAAGTATACATATATTGAAATAAGAATGAGTATTCATTCCGATAAGCATTTATTTGTAAAATCATTAAGTATTAATTATATTTGAAAGCAATAATAATAAGGACTAACATTTTGTTGAGTATTTTGATTTTTTTGTCTTCGTTAAGGTATTTTTATTTCTATATGTCATATTCTCTTATTAAAATTTATATGTAAGTAATAGTAGTTATATCTAAAGTCATTTCATATCAGAAATTTAAATTTGCCATTGTGCCATTAAAACATACAAATGTATTGAATTGTTGTTGTAATTGTGAAAAAGTATCGTGTGTTGAATATGTGTAATGATGGATAAATTTTGTTCAAGTCTAGTCAATAATGTGGACGTGAAATCACTTAATCTATAATATAACATTCACATAAAAAACTGGACGTAATGTTATTCAATTGTTTCCATTTATATTAAATTAAGGTCACCATTTACATGACGTGTTTTTGTCTCTACTAACCATTGCATGTGAAACTATATATTTTAAAATTACCGTTCTTCATTCATAAATTTACCAATGTTTAGTACCTATGTAAATTTATGTATGAAGAATTATGATTCTACAATGTAGTTGATTATGCAAAGACAAAGGGACTGTTGGACGACATTACATAAATACCTAGAAATTGTAAATGTAAATGAGACTGATGTATTTATTTTCAGGGAAACATTTTGCTTTCTAAATAGTAAAGCCTCTTATTCAAATGCAAATAAATGTTCAATTATTATAACGTTATTAACAAGTCAAATGCTTCGTCCATTAATGCTTGCTTTAGATGCTAGGGCTTCATTGTAAGGAGTTTGATTGTAATATTAATACATACAGTCACATTGTGTTGTATATAAAGTGTAAATACAAAATAAACAAAGACTTTGTTTTATTTCAATATCACAACAAAAATAATAAAAGATAATAGTTTGGAAAAATTTATTTGATACTCCAATTTAAATTAACATTTAATTTATTCAGATATACAGTCGAGTTACATTATGCCTCAGCCTTAATACAGCTACTTCATAAACTTTAGAGTTGGGGCAAATTTTAAATGTTACTATTACAACTGAATGTAACTGCAATACTTGAAAATTTATATTAAATACCCTAAACAGTATGGTAAGTTGGATAGTCACTTTGTATCAAGTTACACATAACTTTCAGAAATAGAGAACAGATAGTTAATTCTAGAATAGTTTGACTTTGTTTTAGTCCAGACATATCCTATTGATAACTAACCTATTACATAATTGAAATAGTTTAAACAATTCTTTTTCAACAGTAATATGAAACTGTAATTCAAACAAATGACATAATGAATATGGCTGGAATATACAACCATATTTTGGAAACAATACACTAATGGCTGTAACAATTAATCTAATACATTTAAGAATGTAACAAAATTATTCCTATTTGCACTTTTTTTTGGAGATTATAAGTGTACATGACAATTTATTATATAGACCACTACCTCTTTAATTTTTATCAGATAACATTAAATAAATTATAAGTATTGTTCTTATATTAACATCAATGATTCTATATACATACATTATGAAACAGATATTTTTATTCCATATGTCATAATTTCAGAAGTTTAAGCGACCAATAAGCACATTCATATTTGAAATGTTATTCGTATTGTGAAAATATAGGATACTTAGCAACATTATAAATCTTCCAAGGCTGAGGTAAAAGCGTACTACAAGTTTCGTACATCAAGTTAAGGAAACGTGCTCTACATTTATATTATTTTTGGATTATAGTCAAAATTTATTATTATTGAAAGTTTTACAAATTTTCTACGCATTTAACTGGCATCATGTAAAAGTATAAAAAGACTCGAAGACACGGGAATGCAGTGCGATAATTATTGAACCCAATGAGTGTGTTAAATATAAATACGTCAGTCAGTGGGTCGTCATTTACTACATTATACTATCTACAATAACTGAACACTGCATTACGAACCTTCCGTTGACTGAAACATGTATCTCATGATCATTTAGAAACTTAAAACTACATACTAGAGTAACTAACTTGTTCGATTTCATTATATTTCCAAATTTAGTCGATGAGATCAAATTGGAAACTACGTTATTTCCTGGAAAAACATTATTATACTTATATCAACCGCAGTTATCTATGATCGAATTTCGACATACATTTGAAATAATCTTCATCCTAATAAAATATTTATAATCAAACACTAAACATGATAATTAGTGATAGTTATAAATTTTTCTACTTAAACGGTAGTATATCATTACAGTTACACATAGTTTTTTTTACTATACTTATTAGAAAATATATAATCATTGTGACAGAGACATGGAATAAATAATTTACCAAAATAGAGATAGTGCAAGTTTAAATATTGTACCAGCGGAACCGTTGTCTAGATATGAAAGTTAAAGATTCATTTGGTATCTTATACAAGATCGAGATAGCCATTTAGATTTTTGCACCTAAGCGGTATTTACATCAAGCTTTCTCTAGAATTCAAACACAGTAGTTCCTTTTATCCAAGGAACCTCATGATTTTCATTTTAAGTGGAAAGATAAAGCCGGTGGTAATAGTTGGCCCCGAAGGCCGCGTTGCATTTTGGACATTTCCGTTGACGCGTCTCATAGCGAGTGCGGAGACAGTCCCATCAGAAGACGTGAAAGCACTTCGACAACACAGCATCCTTTCGTTTCACCTGAAAATTAATAAATATATAAATACATTTGTATATTAAGTGAAGTTGGCAAACATCCTACATCGAATTAGTGTTAGGTTAATGTTATTTTAGTCCAATTTTTCAATACTCGCTAAGGAAATACTAACAAAAGTATTTTAAAATAGTCATACAAAATCATTAAGTGACAGAAAATTACCGATTTAATAATAGTTTACCTTGCATGAAGGACAGGTGAGAGTTTCCTTGTACTCTCGTATTTCTTCTAACAGAACTTCGTCCATGGAACTACCCGCCTGTTCCATTTTCTTCATACGCTCGGCCTTGCGACGTAACACTGCCAGCTCCTCCTGTAATGATCAGTAGATTTTAGACATATATTTAGTTAGAGTGGGCAGTCAGATTATTCGACTAATATGGTAAAAAATTCTCTAGATACAGTTTGATATGGCTTTCAGGATACAGAATAGAAACTATATAGAGATTATTTGTAGTAATATGACTATATATGGTATTGGCACAAAGAATTATAGATTTGTTTCAAATCAGGGTATCCTAGTATTTAATGATATCTCAGATTTTCGCGAGTTTTATTCATTTAAATGAAACTAATATTTTGAAAAGTAGTCGAAACGTCGGCAGTAGGTAGTTTTTTTACAAAAATAAAGTAGCATAGTATAATTCGAAAAATATTACTTTCATTTAAATCCTAGTATATTTTTGTTTCAATTAGGCAATGGAATATCTCACATGTAATCTTTTTGTTTTATAAGCCTCCGCCTCAAGCACGCTTGTTTTCTCCGCGACCACCTGCTGAGCTTCTTTCATCTGCGCGTGATATTTTTCTGCAAAATAAATTATTTTGGTCAATTATCATCTTGTAACAAACATATAATTAGCTTAGGTATTATATAAGCAATTATCTGACATTGACTCATTGTGCCCATCGTGGCAATAATTAAAATAATTAGAGTAATGTCATAGTTATAGATTATATGTTATGAGACTTTATGGACAAACAATAATATTTATTATTAATCTTAAAGTATATTATGTAGGAAATAAACATGCACATCTCTTTGATTAAAATTACCAATTTACGAGGACTTTTCACTATTAGATTATCTTTCAGTTCTACAGAGTAAGCAAAGAAACTAGTTCACGAAAATTCAAAAAGACAATGTATTTTTTTTAATACGACCTCAAACTTTTTCACTACGAAAAGAATATCAAAGATATATCTCACCATGATGAAGTTTAAGATCAGCCGCTGACTGTGCAGACTCTACGGCCTTTCTTTTATGCATTTCCATAGCCTGCTGTCGTAATAATAGTTCCTTCTCCACCGCTGACAGAGTGTTCTGCAACAGGCGTTCTTTTTCTTCAAGCCGACGTGTCACCAGCCCCATCTACTCTATCTGCTGGTCCCCTGTCACTACCTGAAAATATACAAGTTCGAATGGTTAATAAAAGATTATAACTACTTGATGCTACATTCGCATGCCCAAACCTGTTTCAGGACGAGTCAACAATAGATTTTGATTAGGACCCATAGGAGCTCCCGTTTAGACTGAAACTATCTCAGTCTCGCCTTTAACGACAAAATAGTAGTGTTGCTAGACTACTGGCGAGGAAGTTTTTCATGTTTACCACCAGCCACTCTCTCGCGGGTTTTATTCCTTACATCACAGAAGTCGAGTTAGAGGTCATCATTATTCCAGGGCGGGGCGGGTAAACAGCGAGGCCGGACTTTTAGAACTATTCAGTATCTGCTTTTTCATTGAACGATATCCGAAAACTTGAAGATCAGAGGTTAAGCTTTTAAGGCTTAGAAACAAAGGTCTTAAAATTGAGCCGAGGGAAAACTGACGGTCTATTTTGGTTGGTTATGCCGGATGGTGACCTACATCAGCTTTACGAACGATGGATAATCAAACAGTAATAAATCGCTGCCCCATCTACTAATCTAAGCTACCATTACTATATGCTGTAAAATTTAACGACTTTAATAGAAAAAATCTTTAAAATGTAAGATTCCTCTACCTGTTCTTGTAAAAGCTGTTTTTTCTTCGCGGAGCAACTTATGCAGTGAATTGGCCTTTATTCTTTCCGACATAAGTTTGAAATTAGCGTCATCCTTCTCTCGTAATTGTTGTATGAGCCGGGAATTCTGTTCCTGCATGTCTACAAATGCTTGTTCCGTTACCTCCATCTCGTTCAGTAAAGCTTCTTCTTCCTAATAAAGAATAAATTTAACAATTTTAAATTGCATTCAAAGACGTGATATCAAAGTTATGTCCAATTTTTAACAGAAATACTTTTGTTATAGTATTTCTGTTAAAAATTGTAAATAATTTCTTTTAAAAATAGTAGGAAATAGACGAAAACGTGATATTATATACAGTGCTAATATTATAAAAACGTAAGTTTGCTAAATTTATGGATGTTTACTGCTCTATATAAAATATAATATGCATATTTTTACGAAATCTGTGATATTAAGTGTACATTACTAATTACTCTCTAAACTCAATACCGTAGACAGTGCAGACGAAATCTCGGACAAAAACTAGTATAATTTGTGTAATGTGTTCACTAACCTGTGACCCAGCGAGTGGTCTAGGGAAGGCCATGAGTGGATCATTGTTAGGTCTAGCGCACGATAACTGTTTCTGTAGCTCGTACTTTTGTTCCTCCAACTGTTTTATCTTACGAAGTGCGTCCTCATCCGCCACGCGCCTCTCGCGTTTGCTTTCCTGTTAATCAATTATAAACCAGAGAGATATAAGAATTGTTTGTCAATATTTATATCGTTTAAATCATATTAATATACTATTTTATTTCTTTTTAAACTAAGGATCAAAATAAATAATAATGATAGCAAATCATGGTAATGAAATTCCTGTTGTCAGTATTTTTATACATTAGTTCATCAGTTGCAACCCTATTTTCGGCTTTGATAATCTGATTTTGTACTATTTTTGTAACCAAATTCAGAATTACTGAAATCCTTTGCCTATTTTCTTTAAGTATTTTCACACAAAATTTATATAGTTTGTATATGTTGGATATCAAATACATTGGCTGTTTGAAGTAAGCAATATTATAGAAGACTATTGTTCTAAATTCAAATTTGACAATTTAAGTACGAATCTAATTAAGTAATTCATATAGTAACCTGCGCCATCTTAGCTTTCTGTCGATGGTCTTCTAACTCCATCCTGGCTTTCCTCTCAGCCGCCATGAGCTGCACCTTGTCCCGTTGTTCTTTACTAACTCCCTTATACATGTCAAGTAACAGCTTCAATTCCTTTTGCTCGTTCACTGCTTTTCCTGCTTACTATCACTACAATAATAATAAATACATTTGTGTATTAAGTGAAGTTAGCAAACATCCTACATCGATTTAGTGTTAGGCTAAGAAAACACTAACAAAAGTATTTTAAAATAGTCATACAAAATCATTAAGTGACAGAAAGTTACCGATTTTATTAATAGTTTACCTTGCATGAAGGACAGGTGAGAGTTTCCTTGTACTCTCGTATTTCTTCTAACAGAACTTCGTCCATGGAACTACCTGCTTGTTCCATTTTCTTCATACGCTAGGCCTTGCGACGTAACACTGCCAGCTCCTCCTGTAATAGATTTAAGACATTTGTTTATTTGAAGTAGAAAGTCAAATAATTCTGTATAAAATTCGACTAATGTTAACAATTCTTCGGATATAGTTTAATATGGCTTATAGAACACAGAATAGAAATTATGTAGGACCTATTTGTAGTATCTATTAGGTTGGTGCGTATGAAATGTCGGATTCTCTTTACATGCGGACGTTTGTCTCCCTGTTTTCGTTATACTTTTGTCTTTAGCATAACCTCATTCATAGTCGTATTGTCAATTGCCAGAGACTCATTTCACCAAAATAGGTTTTCTCGAAGGTTTTCCCTTTTGTTATTTCTTTTGAGTTTATTGCCGATATGAATTCTGCCGACATTCGCGTCATTTTCTTATATGAGTACAAACTTGGTAATAGTGCTGCAAAAGATGCACGCAACATAAACCAAGCGTTTGGGGAGGATACGGTTAACGATCGGAAAGTGCAGCGTTGGTTCGAAAAATTTCGGACTGGCGATTTTTCACTGCAAAATGAGCCGTGCGGAAGACCGAAAGAACGCGGCTGGAGTAATCCATTATTCGTTCCTTCGACCTGGGGAGACAATTACGGCCGAAAAGTACTGCCAGTACATTGATGAGATGCACGATAAGTTAAAAATTGTACGCCCATCGCTTGTGAATCGGCATGGCCCGCTACTGCTCTATGACAACGCTCGGCCGCATACATCCCACAAAACAATTGCGAAACTGAACGAACTGGAATATGAAGTTTTGCAGCATCGACCATATTCACCGGATCTCTCACCGACCAATTTTCATTTTTTCAAGCATTTGGAGCTGTTTTTAAGGGGAAAACACTATGAAAAAGAAGACAGTCTAAAAAACTCGATATCAGAGTTTATTAATTCTAAAGACCAAAATTTTTTTAAGACAGGCATCTTACGCTTTAAAATCTCGTTGGGAGAAGTGTATTGAAGCGAATGGAGCATACTTTGATTTAATAAACAGCTTTTGAAGAAAGATATGCAGTTTTATACAATCACTTAAGAATCCGACATTTCATACGCACCAACCTAATATTATAACTATATCTTGTATTGTCATAAAGAATTATAGCTTTGTTTTAATTCAGAATATCCTGGCATTTTTTGTTTCAATTAGACCATGAAATATCTCACATGTAATCTTTTTGTTTTGTAAGCCTCCGCCTCAAGCGCGCTTGTTTTCTCTGCGACCACCTGCTGTGCTTCTTTCATCTGTGCGGGATATTTTTCTGAAAAATAAATAATTATTAATTAGTCACTAAACTGAATAAATTATTTTGGAAACTAGGCTGCCATCTAGTAACAAACATATAATAAGCAATCAACTGACATTGACTCATTGTGCCCATCATACCATTAATTATAAGAACGATAGTAATATTACAGTTATAGACTATATGTTATGAGATTTTATCGACAAACATATATATATCATTAATTAAAAATTATATTATGTAAGATATAAATGTGCACATCTCTGTTTAGAATATTACCATTTTAAAAAGACTTTTACCTTTCATATTATAAACTAGTTCACGAAAATTCAAAAAGACAATGTATTTTTTTTAATACGACCTCAAACTTTTTCACTACGAAAAGAATATCAAAGATATATCTCACCAAGATGAAGTTTAAGATCAGCCGCTGACTGTGCAGACTCTATGGCCTTTCTTTTATGCATTTCCATAGCCTGCTGTCGTAATAATGGTTCCTTCTCCACCGCTGACAGAGTGTTCTGCAACAGACATTCTTTTTCTTCAAGCCGACGTGCCACCAGCCCCATCTACTCTATCTGCTGGTCCCTTATCACTACCTGAAAATATGAAAGTTCAAATGGTTAATAATAGATTATAAATACTTGATGCTACATTCGCAATCCCAAAGACCTGTTTCAGGACGAGTCAACAATAGATTTTGATTAGGACCCAAAGGGGCTCCCGTTTAGACAGAAACTATCTCCGTCTCGCCTTTAACGACAAAATAGTAGTGTTGCTAGACTACTGTCGAGGAAGTTTTTTATGTTTACCACCGTCCACTCTCTCGCGGGTTCAGTTCCTTACATGATATACCGCCCCATTGGCCAAAATATGTGCCTGTCTCGCCGATGTATCCAATGCTTTGAAAAAAAATTTCACCGAGTCGCAGCTTCTAGCGGAGGACCCTCTCAATGTCAGTTAGAACTATTCGCTTCAGAGTACTGACATGAATGAGAGGCTCGTGACAGTGACGAAGCACTAGAGGCTGTAAGGCTTTGAAACAAAGGCCATAAAATTGAGCCGAGGAAAAACAGAATATATTGGTTGGTTATGCCTGTTGGTGACCTACATCAGCTTTTCGAACGATGGATAATCAAACAGTAATAAATCGCTGCCCCATCTACTAATCTAAGCTACCATTACTATATGCTGTAAAATTTAACGACTTTAATAGAAAAAATCTTTAAAATATAAGATTCCTCTACCTGTTCTTGTAAAAGCTGTTTTTCTTCAATTCAATTTATGCGGTGAATTGGCCTTTATTCTTTCTGACATAAGTTTGTAATTAGCGTCACCCTTCTCTCGTAATTGTTGTATGAGCCGGGAATTCTGTTCCTGCATGTCTTCAAATGCTTGTCCCGTTACCTCCATCTCGTTCAGTAAAGCTTTTTCTTCCTAACAGAAAAAAAAAAGAAAGTTGTAATCAAAGGTATAATATCAGAGTAATGATCAATTTTTAACCGAGATACTTTGGTTACAGTAACAAGTAGACAAGAAAGTGCTAATATATGTATGTTATAAAGGCGAAAGTTTGTTCAATGTGTGGATGTTTTTTGCTCTATATAAAATATACTAACCATATTTTTATGAAATCTAGGATATTAACTGTACATTCCTAATTACTCTCTAAACTCAATACCGTAGACAGTGCAGACGACATCTCGGACAAAAACTAGTATGTGTGTAATGTGTTCACTAACCTGTGATCCAGCGAAGGGTCTAGGGAAAACCATGAGTGGATCATTGTTAGGTCTAGCGCACGATAACTGTTTCTGTAGCTCGTACTTTTGTTCCTCCAACTGTTTTATCTTACGAAGGGCGTCTTCATCCGCGACGCGCCTCTCGCGTTTGCTTTCCTGATAATTAAATATAAACCAGCGAGATATAAGAATTGTTTGTTAATATTTACATAGTTTAAATAATACTTATATATTTTTTAACTTCTTTTTAAACTAAGGATCAAAATAAATAATAATGATAGTCAATCATAGTAATGAAATTTCTGTAGTCAGTATTTTTATTAGTTCATCAGTTGCATCACTATTTTCGGCTTTGATAATCTGATTCTGTATTTTTGTTACCAAATTCAGAATTACTCAAATCCTTTGCCTATTTTCTTTAAGTATTTTCACACAATATTTTCAAATAGTTCGTATATGTTGGATGTCAAATACATTGGCTGTTTGAAGTAAGCTATATTATAGAAGACTATTGTTCTAAATTCAAATTTGACAATTTAAGTACGAATCTAATTATTTAATTCATATAGTAACCTGCGCCATCTTAGCTTTCTGTCGATGGTCTTCTAACTCCATCCTGGCTTTCCTCTCAGCCGCCATGAGCTGCACCTTGTCCCGTTGTTCTTTACTAACTCCCTTATACATGTCAAGCAACAGCTTCAATTCCTTTTGCTCGTTCACTGCTTTTCTATTAGATTAGATTAAATGGTTTAAATAACATTTAAATAAAACTATTAATAAATTAGTACTATAATACTATACTGTAGATAAAATTAATTACAGTTCTTCATTCATAAATTTACCAATGTTTAGTACCTTTGTAGATTTATGTATGAAAAACTATAATTTCTCCATATGCAGTTGATTATGCGAAGATAAAGGGACTGTTGGAGGACATTACATAAATACCTAGAAATTGTAAACATAAATGAGACTGATGTATTTATTTTCAGAGAAACATTTTGCTTTCTTAAGAGATAGAGAGAGAGAGAAGAGAGAAATGCCTCTTATTCAAATGCAAATGTTCAATTATTGTAACAATATTAACAAATCAAATGCTTCGTCCATTAATGCTTGCTTTAGACGATAGGGCTTCATTGTAAGGAGTTTGATTGTAATACTAATACATACAGTCACATTTTGTTGTATATAATGTGTAAATACAAAATAAACAAACACTTTATTTCAATATCACAACAAAAATAATAAAAGATAATAGTTTGGAAAAATTTATTTGATACTCCAATTTAAATTAACATTTAATTTATTCAGATATACAGTCGAGTTACATTATGCCTCAGCCTTAATACAGCTACTTCATAAACTTTAGAGTTGGGGCAAATTTTAAATGTTACTATTACAATTGAATGTAACTGCAATACTTGAAAATTTATATTAAATACCCTAAACAGTATGGTAAGTTGGATAGTCACTTTGTATCAAGTTACACATAACTTTCAGAAATAGAGAACAGATAGTTAATTCTAGAATAGTTTGACTTTGTTTTAGTCCAGACATATCCTATTGATAACTAACCTATTACATAATTGAAATAGTTTAAACAATTCTTTTTCAACAGTAATATGAAACTGATATTCAAACAAATGACATAATGAATATAGTTGGAAAATACCACCATATTTTGGAAACAATACACTATTGGCTGTAACAATTAATCTAATACATTTAAGAATGTAACAAAATTATTCCTATTTGCACTTTTTTTTTGGAGATTATAAGTGTACATGACAATTTATTATATAGACCACTACCTCTTTAATTTTTATCAGATAACATTAAATAAATTATAAGTATTGTTCTTATATTAACATCAATGATTCTATATACATACATTATGAAACAGATATTTTAATTCCATATGTCATAATTTCAGAAGTTTAAGCGACAAATAAGCACATTCATATTTGAAATGTTATTCGTATTGTGAAAATATAGGATACTTAGCAACATTATAAATCTTCCAAGGCTGAGGTAAAAGCGTACTACAAGTTTCGTACATCAAGTTAAGGAAACGTGCTCTACATTTATATTATTTTTGGATTATAGTCAAAATTTCTTATTATTGAAAGTTTTACAAATTTTCTACGCATTTAACTGGCATCATGTAAAAGTATAAAAAGACTCGAAGACACGGGAATGCAGTGCGATAATTATTGAACCCAATGAGTGTGTTAAATATAAATACGTCAGTCAGTGGGTCGTCATTTACTACATTATACTATCTACAATAACTGAACACTGCATTACGAACCTTCCGTTAACTGAAACATGTATAGATCATTTAGAAACTTAAAACTGTTTACATACTAGAGTAACTAACTTGTTCGATTTCATTATATACTAACCATCAGATATCTCGAGATGCAAAATAATTCACAAAATGCAAATGACATTATATTGAGTTTATAAATCACAATACATGGAAAGTTGAATTATATAATAAGGAATGAACTTGAAGCGTCCCATTGATAATGTCATATTTATTAAATTATTACAGTGAAGTCACATTTTTACTTAAATTATAAGAAAACAATGAGAAGCATTAATACTTTGAACTTTTTATCTCACTTGAAGATATCGTTTGAATGAATGACTACAGAGATAGTTACATTATCAGTCAGTTTAGTGTAAATATCAGGTCTCTAGTCAAATTCAAATGATAACACCGCAGCCTACAATTCAAATCACAACCCCCTTCCCCCAAATCCAACATTCAATACTGTATAGCGGTTCCTTTCCAAATTTAGTCGATGAGATCAAATTGGAGACTACGTTATTTCCTGAAAATCCATTTACTATGCAAAAAATATTATTATGCTTATATCAACCGCAGTTATCTATGATCGAATTTCAACATACATTTGAAATAATCTTCATCCTATTAAAATATTTATAATCAAACACTAAACATGATAATTAGTGATAGTTATACATTTTTCTACTTAAACGGTAGCATATCATTACAGTTACACATAGTTTTTTTTACTATACTTATTAGAAAATATATAATCATTGTGACAGAGACATAGAATAAATAATTTACCAAAATAGAGATAGTGCAAGTTTAAATATTGTACCAGCGACAACAGTGGAACCGTTGTCTAGTTATGAAAGTTAAATATTCATTTGGTATCTTATACAAGATCGAGATAGCCATTTAGATTTTTGCACCTAAGCGGTATTTACATCAAGCTTTCTCTAGAATTCAAACGCAGTAGTTCCTTTTATCCAAGGAACCTCATGATGTTCATTTTAAGTGGAAAGATAAAGCCGGTGGTAATCGTTGGCCCCGAAGGCCGCGTTGCATTTTGGACATTTCCGTTGACGCGTCTCATAGCGAGTGCGGAGACAGTCCCAGCAGAAGACGTGAAAGCACTTCGACAGCACAGCATCCTTTCGTTTCACCTGAAAATTATTATACATATAAATATATTTGTATATTAAGTGAAGTTGGCAAACATCCTACATCGATTTATTGTTAGGTTTATGTTATTTTAGTCTAATTATTCAATACTCGCTAAGAAAACACTAACAAAAGTATTTTAAAATAGTCATACAAAATCATTAAGTGACAGAAAATTACCGATTTTATTAACAGTTTACCTTGCATGAAGGACAGGTGAGAGTTTCCTTGTACTCTCGTATTTCTTCTAATAGAACTTCGTCCATGGAACTACCCGCCTGTTCCATTTTCTTCATACGCTCGGCCTTGCGACGTAACACCGCTAGCTCCTCCTGTAATGATAGATAGATTTTAGACATTTATTTATTTGGAGTAGAAAGTCAAATAATTCTGTATAAAATTCGACTAATATAAACAATTCTTCAGATATAGTTTAATATGGCTTATAGGACACAGAATAGAAATTATGTAGGACCTATTTCTAGTATATAACTATATCTTGTATTGTCACAAAGAATTATAGCTTTGTTTCAATTAGAATATCCTTTTATATTTTTGTTTCAATTAGGCCATGAAATATCTCACATGTAATCTTTTTGTTTTATAAGCCTCCGCCTCAAGCGCGCTTGTTTTCTCTGCGACCACCTGTTGAGCTTCTTTCATCTGTGCGTGATATTTTTCTGTAAAATAAACAATAAGTTAGTAGGCTGACAGCTAATAACAAACATATGAGTCGTATAGAATCAAAGGCAATCTGCAAATTTTGTCAAAATAAAGATTTTTATATGGCCACACAGGAAATTTAAAATAACGTTACGTACTTCATTTACTTTATATCAAAATCGACTATTTCGCAGTGAAATCCTTCTTGAAAATCAGGTTTAGCATCAAATCCGGCAATCTTCAACAGTATAAAAATCAAACCCGGCCTCTTAGCTCATTCCACTAATCACAAGCGTCCGTGTGGTCACGTGACCTAATGATCTGTTGGAAGTTTCTTACGACTTTGTGTCCGTGTTTTTATTGAATTATTTTATTTATTATGATTACTGTTATAAAATATAAATTGAATCATGGATGTATGTACATCCTAAGCCTGTAATAAATAAGTTTGCCCGGAAACGAAAGAGAAACTCAGAAAAATGGAATCGAAACTTGGCGAAGAAACCAAATAAGTTTATGTATAGGGCTGTCACGTCACGACTAAGACAAAGTGTATTCTATGTTTTTTAACCCTAACAAAAGATGTGTTATAAAGTTGACCACTATACTATGTGTATATGTGTGAATGGATTTGCATGCGGTTCTTTTAATATTTCTGAACAAAATCTGAAAAAAAGTTACACAGTTTTAAATTATAATTGTCAGCTTTTTTTAAAAGACGCGACAGGATTATAGCTTCTCTTAATTGGGTGAAGGATTTTTAAAATTTTAATATATTCTGCTTGTTTCTGGTTATGGTTTTGGTTTTATGTTCTGAGTATGATTTATATTTTTTTTTTCTAGATATTCTGCAAAATCAGTCCCTGAAAGAGTCTACACGCATAACACAAAATCGCTTAAATGTGCTACTTGTGCTGTGTAGTCGTGCGTGCCGTGTAGTTTCATTATCACCACTTGATTTATACAAATAAAATCCTTAAAACAAATTTATAACATTTTTTTTTTTATATCCTTTTTGACAACCCTGAACGAGTAAATTTTTTTTTGGTAAGTTTCATAAACGGCAATCTCGACATAATTTGGTATCAAATACGGCATTCTCAGATTTTTAGTTTCAAATCCGGCATTCTGCAAAATTCTTTTCTAAATTTCTTCGAATTGTTATTTTTATAGTACACAATGAGAGTTTAATATTAAGCGCATCAATACTTACGTCACTTAAAAAAACATTACGTAATATTATTTTTGGATCGGACGACACAAACCGAAAATGTTCAATTCTCTGATTTCAGTCTAAGTGTAGATTGCCGCCTTTGATTCGACTTATATAATGCTCACCAAAAATAATAACAATTATTTGACACTGACTCATTGTGATCATCGTGGCAATAATGACAATAATTAGAGTAATTTATAGATTATTATATGTGATGGAACCTTATCGACAAAAAATATATCATTAATCTTAAGCATAGTATATAAGAAAAAATGTGCAAGTCTGTTTTAATGAGATTACCACTTCACGAAGATATTTTACAGCATTAGACATGCTTCAGTTGTGCAGAAAGAACAGAAACTACTTCACGAAAATTCAAAAAGAGAACGTATTTTTTTCAATACGACCTCAAACTTTTTAATTAAGAAAACAATATCAAAGGTATATCTCACCAAGATGAAGTTTAAGATCAGCCGCTGACTGTGCAGACTCTATGGCCTTTCTTTTATGCATTTCCATAGCCTGCTGTCGTAATAATAGTTCCTTCTCCACCGCTGACAGAGTGTTCTGCAACAGACGTTCTTTTTCTTCAAGCCGACGTGCCACTAGCCCCATCGACTCTATCTGTTGGTCCCTCGTCACTACCTGGAAATATAAAAGTTCAAATGGTTAAAAAAAGATTATAACTTAACTACATTCTTAACTACATAACATGATGCTACATTCGCAAGCCGTTTCAGGACGAGTTAATGACAGATTATGATTAGTACCCAAAAGAGGTCCCATTTAGACTGACGCGAAACTATGTCCGTCTCGCCCTTAACAACCCAGTAATAGAGTTGCTGTATTCAGAATACATATATATACTGCTAGCGACGAAGTTTTTCATGTTTACCATCGGCCACTCTCCCGCGGGTTCAGTTCCTTACATAACCGAAGTCGAGTAGTAGGTCACTATTATTCTAGAGCAGGTTTTGCTTATCGAATATTAACACCGAGGTCTGACTTTTATAACTGTTCAGTATCTGCTTTTTCATGGCACGATATCCGAAAAGTTTGAAGATTGGGGAGGTTAAGCTTGTTGAGGAAAATGTTCTTCGCTATCTTGATTTCTAGTAAGTAAATTAACCATTTACAGTCTGACGACGCTGTGATGTGACAGGGACTCCATTGTAGCGATTTCGCTGGATGTCGTTTACGCCTTTAATAACTTTCCCCTCGAGACTGCAGTAGAGGCCCTGACAATGGTTAAAAAATACCTTCCCAAAACTGGAGTGTATTAGAGACATAACTACAGAGCAGGGAAGTTATTAAAATTGATTCTTTGTTATGCTGTCGAGTGAGAACAGTTGTAGAGCAGACTCCTTTTGCGAGTCAGGAAGTGGCCGCTCAACAGGAAGAGGGTCAGTTCCGCTCTGTATAAAGCGCCATTGTGTAAGTGAATACCTTCACCAGTCACCAGGTCGTCGCCTAGATAATGTACATAAACACTCTTCACGTTCACACGCACATTAACTGCGGTGTGATAGTCAACACTACGGTCCCCCTATTCGAGCTGATGCATCGCCCTTCGAGGATTGAGCCAACTTCGTGTCTTGGGCAAGGGAGAGAAGCGCTCTGAATGCTTCTGAAGATTATCCAGAGCTTTTCTTTACTGCGGAGGAAGGGCACAGATGTGTTTCAGAGTTTAATACCGCCACATTGGTCAAAATACGTGCCTGTATCCCCGTTATACGCAATGCCTTTCCGTGCGTAGAAAAAAAGTTTCGCCGAGTCGACGCTTCTAGCGGGTGACCCCCTCAATTTTAGTTAAAACGATTCGCTGCAAAGTACTGTCACCAGCAAAAGGCCGGTGATAGTGACGAAGCAGTAGCGACTGTAAGACTTAGAAACAAACGCCTTAAAATCGAAAGAAAGCTACCGTTCTACAGCCACGGGCAAAAGTATTAGGCACCCTACAGTAAGACAAGTTTTAGGGTGTTTTAGCATAGCGAGTGTAAATAAAACTGCATTTATGATTACAATGGTTTATTTTAAGAAAATAATTAATATTTTGTAGGTCCACCTTTCGACTTAATAACCGCAGCCACTCTTTTTGGCATTGACTCTACCAGCCTGAAACATTCTTCTCTTGATATATTTTTCCATTCCTGCTGTAACGCGGCCAATAGAGCTTGTTTATTGCTAATCGAGTGCCTGCGGATATTTTTCTTTAAAATGGACCAAATATGCTCAATCGGGTTGAGGTCTGGTGATTGTGGTGGCCAGTCCAAAAGATCAATATGATTTTCAGCAAACCACTTCATGGTATGCGCAGACTTGTGGCAAGTGGCGTTGTCTTGCTGAAATTTCAGACCATCGGTGTTTGTATCACCGAAAATTTGCGTTATCGACGTTGCTAGTGCTGTTTCCAGAATTTCAGTGTATTTAACACTATTCATTCGTCCCTCACACAACACCATTTCGCCCACTCCGTCGGCAGCCATGCAGCCCCAGATCATTATTTATTTATTTATTTATTTATTTATACTTTATTGTACAACATACTAAAACTAAAAAAATACATTATCGTTATACATATATTACTAATGTATGATGTGCAACAGGCGGCCTTATCGCTAAACAGCGATTTCTTCCAGGCAACCTTTGGGAAGAGGATAATAATGTGGTAGGGTAAATACAAATTAAATACAAATAACAATAAATATATATATAACACAAATATACATATATACTATATTAAATACATACATACATAAATATATACATAAAATACATATAATAAAATAGGAGATATAAAGTAGACAAGATATTAACAATAACAACTGACTGCTTAGAACTGTTGTGAAAAGTAAAAGTCCTTAACCATTTTTTTAAAAATGGTTAAGGACTGTGCCCGCCTTACAGCTAAGGGTAAAGTATTCCAAAGTCGAGAAGCTTCTACAGTGAAGGACTTAGAATAGTAAGAAGAAGAATGGGAAGGAATGGAGAGAATTAAATTTTCACTCGAGCGAAGAGCACGCTCATGAGACTCCCTAAGGAGAGTGAAACGCTCTTTAAGATATAGGGGTGTCGCTGGATTAAAAAGAATAGAATAAAGAAGAGATAAAATGTGAGTATTCCTGCGAAGGCGAATAGGGAGCCACTTGAGCCTCCACCATGCTTAACAGTGGGAACCACACATTCTGTGTTGTATTCTTCGCCAACCCTTCGCCTAACATAAGTCACACCGGGTGTTCCAAACACCTATGCCAAACGAAAAAAACCATTTATTTTCAAAGATATTATTTTTCTTGCAGTACGTTATTTTAAAAACATTTATGTGTTTTAATATTGTACATAAAATAAATAACAATACCTCAAAGTTAGATTCGTCTGGCCACAGTTTGTTGGACCAATCTTCCACTGACCAATCTCTATGTTTGAGTGCCCACTCCAACCGATTTTTCTTATTGTGTTCTGACAGCCACGGCTTCTTCCTTGCTTTACATCCTTTTAATCCAGCTTTAAAAAGTCTTCTTCTCACAGTATAAACACTCACTGAGCTGCCTTTTGCCTCAGATAATGCTGCAGCGAGCTCTAAAGCAGTTTTTTTCCTGTTTTGTAGAGACTGCCTAATCAACAATCGATCTTCCCGTTCAGTAGTAACTTTTCTTCTGCCTGTTCTTGGTCTATTTTCATGGGTGCCAGTCTCTTTGAAGCGATTTATAGCATATTGAACTGCACATCGCGAGCACTTCACTTCTCGGGCTATTTTAACCTGAGACATGCCTTGTTCATGTAAAATCTTAATTCTTAGACGCTGTTCAGCATTAAGTTCAGATTTTTTCGGCATGATTAAGACGTTAAATGTTAGTCTTTAGAATTGTGATAGGAATAGTTGCGTAGAAGACGTGTATGTTCACTGCAAGCACTGATAACACACTATAACCCGAAACGCAAAAAAAGCAAATTCGAAGAAACACCGCTTAGGAGCACACCTGGATGTCATAAATATTTTCTTTTACCTTAATTTGGTTAAAAATTGCCGCTAATACAATAGCTAAACCCTAAAACACACACTTGACTGCTATCTAATGAGATAGTGACTAACAATAGGGGTGCCTAATACTTTTGCACGCAGCTGTATTTTAGTTGGTTAAACCGGTTGGTTCCCTTCATCAGCATTTTGAAGGATGGATGGGCAATCGTTCATATTGATCACGGGACCCTTACTTGTCAACGAGTGAAGACAATGAGGGAAGTTTTAGCGATTAGTGGGTAACCCTGGATCAATCCCTTGTAATTCGACCTACTCAGATACTTTTCTTGGAGTGCGGGAAAATAAAAACCTTTTTCCCATGCACTAATCTAAACTACTACTACTTTTGATATAAAATTTAACGAGTTTAAAAAAAAAATCTCAAAAATGTAAGATCCCTCTACCTGTTCTTGTAAAAGCTGTTTTTCTTCGCGGAGCAACTTATGCAGTGAATTGGCCTTTATTCTTTCTGACATAAGTTTGAAATTAGCGTCATCCTTCTCTCGTAATTGTTGTATGAGCCGGGAATTCTGTTCCTGCATGTCTTCAAATGCTTGTCCCGTTACCTCCATCTCGTTCAGTAAAGCTTCTTCTTCCTAGCAGAAAATAAATTGAAAGTTAAAATCAAAGGCATAATATCAGAGTAATGATCCATTTTTAACAGAGATACTTTGGTTACAGTAACAAGTGGACGAGAAAGTGCTAATATACAGGGTGACTGGTGAATTACTATCGATACTTGAGGACGTGATATTTGACGATCATATATAACAAAATAAAAATTAATATAACATAAATATTAATAAACTTCTAAGTAAAGTTAATCAAAAGTTATGTAATTAATTACGCATCGTGTGGACACCCTAGCTGCGTTATCGACACAAAACAGTTATGTAGGTAGGTAGGTAGGTAGGTAGATAGCAAGTGAGCTCCTTCTCGTGTGATACACATTTGTGTATTGATAAGCCATACTTAATTACTAATAAGTAATAACGGGTCACACGCACACACGACAGATTAGGTAAACGCGTAAGATCGATCGCCAGGCGCGCGCGCGGGAAGACGGACGTACAGATCTTACGGCGGCGCTCGCCCGACTAATTAGCCACGGGGCGGGGTTGGGGGTAGTGACACACGCGTGCGGCGGCGTGGTGTTGTATCAGCACGCCGCCACACGCGTCCACACTTGGAACGTGTCCACACTTTATTTATTTATACGGAAATTTGGTCAAAAATTAAGTACCTATTTTTTTACATAATTCGAATGAGAATCATGTACCGAGTATTCTCCTTAAATATTGATAGTAATTCACCAGTCACCCTGTATATTATAAAGGCGAAAGTTTGTTCAATGTATGGATGTTTACTGCCTGATATAAAAGTAGCTTTTGCCGCGACTTCGTCCGCGTGGAATAGTGAATTCCGGCAGATTTTTGGTTCTTCCCACATTGTTCCCGTTCTTGCGGGGTTTTCAGAATGGTCGAGTTCCCGTAGAATTTTCAGAATAAAAGCTATCGTCATCAGCCTATCAGAACCCACTGCTGAGCAAAGGCCTCTTTCTCACATGGAGAAGGTTTGAGCATTAATCACCACGCTTGCTCAAGACGGGTTGGTGATTTCAAACTTATAATTGTGAAACTATAAGTCCAGGTTTCCTCACGATGTTTTCCTTCACCGTATGTCAATGGTGTCTAAATACTCTCAGAAAGTACATATGACTCCGAAAAATCACATTGGTACTTGCCAGGTTTGAACCCGCGATCTCGGGAACGAGAGGCGGGCCCTTTAATCACTAGGCCACCACTGACTATAAGCTATGTTTTTTTTAATTCACAATGAAGTACTCTTAACCAACAACATATTTATTTGTTTATTTGAATAAAGATTAATATTATTATGTTGATACAACTTAAACAAATTATTTCGACCAAATTAGGTACCATAAAAACGGTTTTTGTGAGTTAACTTCGATAACTGGACTATCCAACACAAAAAGAATTATTCAATTCGAATCAGTAGTTTCGGAGATTAGCGCTTTCAAACAAACAAACTCGTCAGCTTTATAATATTAGTATAGATATACCATCCATATTTTTATGAATTCTATGATATTAAATGTACATTATTATTAATTTTTCTCTGAACTCTAGACCGACTAGACTCTGAATACCGTAGACAGCGCAGACATAATCTAAGACAAATTATACTAAATTAGTGTTCACTAACCTGTGACCCAGCGAATGGTCTAGGGAAGGCCATGAGTGGATCATTGTTAGGTCTAGCGCACGATAACTGTTTCTGTAGCTCGTACTTTTGTTCCTCCAACTGTTTTATCTTACGAAGTGCGTCCTCATCCGCGACGCGCCTCTCGCGTTTGCTTTCCTGATAATCAAATATAAACCAGAGAGATATAAGAATTGTTTATTTATATTTACATAGTTTAAATCATACTTATAATTTTTTTTACTTCTTTTTAAACTAAGGATCAAAATAAATAATAATGATGGTATAGTAAATCATGGTAATGAAATTTCAGTATTTTTATACATTAGTTCATCAGTTGCATCACTATTTTTGGCATTGATAATATGATTTTGTACTATTTTTGTTACCAAATTCAAAATTACTCAAATCCTTTGCCTATTTTCTTTAAGTATTTTCACACAACAATTTCAAATAGTTCGTATATGTTGGATGTCAAATACATTGGCTGTTTGAAGTAAGCAATATTATAGAAGACTATTGTTCTAAAATCAAATTTGACAATTTAAGTACGAATCTAATTAAGTAATTCATATAGTAACCTGCGCCATCTTAGCTTTCTGTCGATGGTCTTCTAACTCCATCCTGGCTTTCCTCTCAGCCGCCATGAGCTGCACCTTGTCCCGTTGTTCTTTACTAACTCCCTTATACATGTCAAGTAACAGCTTCAATTCCTTCTGCTCGTTCACTGCTTTTCTGTTAGGTTAGATGAGATGGTTTGGTTTAGACAACGATTTAAGTAACATTAAACTAACACTATTAATAAATTTGTTCTAAATATAATATTATATGTAGATGAAATTTACTGTAGTTGTCTTGATTACATGGTGATTTTAGGAAAAAAAATATTTCAGTCAAAAATTAATTTATATCATAACAAGGTCGCATTCTAAACTAACATTTATCATAATCTAACAATATGTTTTATTTTTTAATTAATTTTAATTGTATGGTCAATTGTATACCCATAATTTAGTTTTAAAGTTATAAAACTTACTTAAGCTGTTGTTTAAGGTCCTTAATAAGTAAATCTTGTTCATGTAACTTGGCTCTACCATGCTCTTTATTAGCTGTGGCAGCCACCATCTTATTTTCCCCACCACTGCCACCTTCATCGCCCTGAAAGAACATAATTATATTTGAAAATCATCACATACGAAAGGATCTTCATAAGTTAATATAAATTCATATTTATTCGATATTTTTATTACAGTTCCGTGATCCAAGATAGAAAAGGTTGAGATAATATAAGTTAAATAAATATAAATAACATATAGTCGGCGATAGTGCAAATCCGCGTAGCTACCATTGGATAATTCCGTGCATTGTACATTGCACCGTACATTGGAAGCAGATTATTAGAAGAAAGTCTGAGCTAAAATATTTTCTAAATTAACTATTTTTAAGATAATTTTTTTCACAATTAGTAATAAATTACGCACTAAATTATCACTCGGAATTAACAAGTGGTAGTTACGCGGATTTGCACTATCCCGATGACATATAACGCAAACATGCAGGAGTATAATAATATATATTATATAATATTCAAAAGCTGGTTAGTATAAGTGATATATAATGTATGTATGTATGTATATAGTTAGTTAGTGAGTCAGTACACGAGCGACCTCCGGCTCCGGTTCTTCTTTCTTAACCACAGGCTTCTCATCTGTCTCTGGTGGGGGATGAGGTCCCGAGCCCACACGACTGGTAGCATCTTCGAGCTCCTTGCGGATCTGAAAATAGAGATTATATTACACTTTTATATACTACTAGCTGCGCCCCGCGGTGTTACTCGCGTATTTCCGGGATTTCTTGGATGTAAAGTAGCCTATGTGTTATTCCATGACGTCAGCTTCCTGTATACAAAATTTTATCAAAATCGGTTCAGCCGTTTGAGCGTGAAGTCGTAACAAACATACACACACACTCACAAACTTTCGCAATTATAATATTAGTAGCATACTAAGTTATTAAGTAACTAGATCTTATATTTACAGTAGTATTCATGTATAATGTATCAATTGACAAATAAAATGCATTATTATCAGGTTAAATTAAGCATTACCTCACACACAGGGGTCTGAAATAATTTTATTATATCAGATTAATCTTAATATGATACATGATTCACAATTGTATTAAAAAATTAAGTAATAAATACATATATACACAATCAAATGTTATTGTTTATAGTTTTGCTTGAAATTAATATATCATACAAAACATTACACTGAGAACAATTTACATTTCTTATGTCACTTTGTATATTGAATAATTTTCATTTTATTTATTATTAAAATTATTTTGATTAGAAATCTGTTTACTTGAGTAGATTTCGTAAAAAATATTAATATTTATTATCTATTTTTGGTGAGGTCAATTTTAGTTTTTTATTTCATTAATATTGGACAAAATAATAAATAATCTGTCTCCTAAAGTAATCACAACTAGAAAGACTATATGTATATTTTATTTAGATTTCAAATGGGTAGATTAAAAAATCAATTCTTTCTAAATTTCCTGGCTAAAATGTTAGTCTTGAAATATCTGTTTATCCCTACTAATATTATAAATGCGAAAGTAACTCTATCTGTCTGTCTGGCTGTTACGCTTTCATGCCTAAACCACTAAACTAATTTTAATGAAATTTGGTACAGAGATGGAGTTGACTTTGAGAAAGAACATGGGATAGTTTTTATCCCAGACTTTTGAAAGGATCTCTTGAAAACGTGATATAACCGAACTCCACGCGGGCGAAGCTGCGGGCGGAAAGCTAGTTAATTATAAATGTACTAGCTGACCCGTCGAAATTTGTACCGCCCTTTAATCAAGAAATGTCTATTACCTTTTTATCTTAATGAAGTTAATTTCTTTATTAAGTACAACTAACCCGACAGACAATGTTCTGTCATCCTCACTATGATTATTGAATTCTAATTGGTATATTAATAATCAAAATTATTCCAAAAACAAAGTTCAAATATTCTTAGTTTTAACTTTGGACACAGACTAACTCTGACAGATATATTTGCAAAGAGCATGTAAATTTGTTTTAAGTTTTTCTTCGTTTTAATGTCAACTATGTGAGTATTACTGCCAGTGATATTTTATTAAAAAACGGAATATTCTATTTTTTTTTTTTGTAATTTTTTCTTACATAAGAACCTCCTAATAATAACGAATACAAAAAAAAGAATAAGTGAAATCTGTTCAGCCATTCACGCGTGATGCCGTAACCAAAGGAAAAAGCGATTCATTATTATATAAATAGATTTAAAAATAGAATAAGAAATTTTAAAAGCAATTAGGTTCCTCTGTAGTATACACTTTACTTTTTGTAATGTATAAATATATGACAGTAAATGTCACTGTTTTACAAATATATTCTGTTAATAATTTATCATATTAACTATAGAATTTGAATATAAAGAATTTTATAAGAAACCAAAAGAATACATATATGTATTCATTTAATGATATCTACGATTTGAAGAGTATAATTGATATTTTCAGAATACTACGCGTTATTTTGTAATTTTTAAAACTAAATACTCTATATGTATTTATATATATTATAGATCATACCTTATTTAATTCCTGGCTAGTGTCCTTATATTTTCTTTTATACCTATGAACCTCTCCTTTCAACTGTTGGTTATGATTCTGTAGTGATGTAATGAGGTGCCTCATTTCTCTATTAATTGGACCAGTCTGCTCATTAGCCGCTAGATTCTGTTCAAACTCTATTCTCAGCATCTCATACTCTTTCCTCAGCTGACCGAGCACATCTTCAAGTTGTATCATTTCAGCCCTTAAAGCCTTCTGCCTTGCAAGCTCTTCACTCTGAAACCAGTTAAACCATATTTGTGATACAACTAAGTGAAATCAAGCAACTTTAGTCTCAATATAAAGTAAATCTGTGAAGTCTAAGACTTTCTTAATTATATGTTTAAATAAAACATTTATAGATATCTGCATTTCAGAATCATGTATGTAATAAAAAAAAAAATATACATAAGCAAGGTAAAATGCCAAAAATATATTATATTACTTTTAAGTTTATAAAATAAACATTGTATATAAAACAAAACTCTGAATTGTATAGTATTGTCATACATATTACTAAAGCTACTAATACCTCCATCATCTCAATTTGCCTCATATGAAGATTTTTCGCGTTCTGTAGTTGAAGCCGTGTTTCATCGAGTGCGGTCTTCATTTGCATGGACTCGTTGTAAAGAACTGAGAACTGACTTTGAAGACACTTGTACTCTGTGGTTTCTACTATAACAGACTCCGGCAACTGGCGAATCTGTGGTTATAACAAAGATTTAGGATAAAAACATAAAAATCGTTATATCTTTTCTGTTAGAATTGGAAATTATAGGAAATCTACTCATACAAAAAGTATGAATATATCATGTGGGAGTTAACAACTTTCTATTAGAAAAAAGAATGGAAACTTCATATGTTGTATTACCATATAAACTTATTATGGGGTGAAATTATATTTTGTATTATATGTATATATAATATTATATAGTATTATCAACTAATGTATTTTTCTTTTTTAATACATACATCCATCTTAAGCTTCTCCAATTCCTTGAGAGTATCTCTATGTTGTCTATGCAGACGATCTAACTCAGCCAGTCTATTGTTGGCCAATTCTCGTTGCTCTTCAAGCTCTGCAGCCACGTCCTCCAATTTCGCACTGGCAGCCGAGTGTGGAGGGCACGGCGCGGCCACACTAGCACTCACACTCGTACCAGACTGGTGATAACTCTTCAACTTCTCTATAGCCTCAGCTAAATGATTTTCTAACTTATCATTGCGTGAACGAACCTAGAATAAACAATACTATTTTTCTGAGTGACCTTTCAAGATTTTATTGCAAAACTTAACCCTTAGTGCATATATTAGACTAGTGGCATTGTTCTGTGATCTTTACTGAGAATTTATGTGTGTGTGTAGAATACATGTGTGTAGCCAACCTTATGAAAGGCAGTCACCAGTCTTTAGAAACCTGTGCTATCAATATTATAGTGTAGCCAACCTTAAAAGTATTGGAATACCTTCATCAGCTCATATTGAAGATCGTCAATTTGATTCTTGAGCTCAGCATTCTCCGTGTCCCTACTATTAACTGCATCTTGTAACTGCGCCACTCGTAAAGTCATAGCATGATGGCTTTCATGCAGTGTTGTGCACAATGCTTGTAAACGACGATTCTCCACTGTAACTTCCTCATTTGTTGCTCGGATAACTTCATCCAGGGATGGCGCTGGTGCACTCTCTAAGTATGTATAATATAATAATAACTTTACGTAATAATAAAATGAATAAAAATTTAAAAAAAATAATTAAAAATTACATAATTAGTATTTGCTCATCATAGTTTCTAAACTCAGTCATAATATTGAATGACAATCATGTAACATCATTTACAGATTATCACTATCCTTATACTAAATTATTACCACAAATCAAGCCAACAATTCTTACCCTCACTCTCCCCTTTGATAGCTCTCCATATTTTATCATTTCTCTGCTGCAGTCTATCAAAAGCTTGTAAAACCTTAGCCACAGCTCGTTTGCTTACTTGTACTCTATTGGCCAATTGTGCATCCAACTCTTCTTTATCCCAAGTGGACAATTGCATAAGAAATGAAGTGGTAGCTTCATTCTCATCTATAACATGTAAATTCAGGTACAAATACTGAAAATAATGGCATAACCTAATCCTCAATGAACAGAATCATTTTACATATGAATAAGAAATAATGTATGGGCATGTAAAAACATTAATTTCACTTACAATTTAAAGATGTCATTATTTAATCATATCACATATATTTAGGACTTACTTTTATTTTCAGATTCATCAGCAGTCTCTGCATCGAATCTCTGCAATAATACTCTAATATCCTCATTAAGTAAATTCCAGTAACGGTTGACGACACACAATACTGCATCATCTTGGGTCTGTCGTTTTTCTAACTGCTCAATCCTTGCTCTCAGTTCTGCTTCACACCTGTGTCTTTGTTCAATCCTCTGTGATAGAAAAAACCTTTTATATTATGCTTATTAAATGACAAATGGAACAATAAGAATATTCAATGTTTTCGTAAAACTTTATTGTGTGTATTACTATGTGTATGTTGCGAAATTATAATTAAAATGATTTGTTGCCTTTCACAATAGAAACATGTAGGGATCATCAATTAAATCGGGTGAAACTTGTTGAACATCAATCAGCTGACTGAGACATGGATTCCATTTAAGTGTATATGTAGAATCGTAAGTTCGGTGTGAATGTCTATATAACTATTAGACTCGCATTAAGTTTTACCTGTGCTAACTTTTTGTTCTGGAATTGAAGGACTTTAATGTCCATTTCTTCAAGGGTAGACACAGGGCCAATAAGGTGTGGTTCGAAATGAACCTTCTTAATCGGTGGTTGGCTGCTGCCATTTCCACTCTCTTCTGCAATTCTCTTAGACATCTTGATCTGAATATAACGTTAGAATATCATATAGTTTCTACCGAAAACTAAACGTATTGATTTCGATTATAAGCTGACCAAGTAAGAAAGACATGATACAGACTGGATTTACAGCATTAACATATCTATTTTATTTGGCCGGTTTATGTACATACCTGCTTGTCAATATTGACAAGGTAAAATTATTATAGTTTTAAAGCAAATCTTTATTAATGAATGTTTTAATAATACTTATTTCAGTAGAGTCTATCATCTTTTAAGACTTCATTTAAATGAGGTCAAATAAATTAAATTATAACAACAGATCGTCTTTAGCTTACACTCTACAGTACCAGTACCAACTCAGCCAACCTAACCGTTCTACAAAATACAGAGTAAACAGATATGTCAAACTATTGATAATACAGATTAACTATGAATTTATATTTTGGCATAAGAACCACCTTAATAACACCTACTTTGTATTTTGTAAATTAACGTTACCACAAAACAATTCTAATCATATTGCAGCTTATTTAACTAAAAATTAATGAAAATCTGAAAAGATATGTTGAAAACCATTTTAATAATCCAAAGCAGTAAAAATCTAATTAGAAAAAATACACTGCAATAATATTTTTTTTGTACAATTACACTGAAAATATAGGTCGTAAAATAAATTAAAATGAAACAAAAATTTTTAATTATTCATTATATTTCTGTAATGCAATTGATCTTGGAACATTCTTAGAAAAACTTTATACTTTCTATCATGGAATGATTTAATATCTTTGTTTGGTAAAACAACATCTGCCATTCCTCCCATACTTTGAATAGCAGTTTTTACATCACTAAAATGCTTAGAAACACATGCACCTAAAATAGCTGATCCAACAAGTACAGATTCCTTCTCATGGGGCAATAGAACAGGCAGTCCTACAGAATCAGCCTGGATTTGTACGAACAGTGGATCTTTGGTAATTCCTCCACATATCGGCAAAGACTTGAATTGTGAATAACCAGACATTACTAGAACATCTATAATATGCCTGGTGCCATACTGAAATAATTATAGTGTTTAATTGAAATTAAAAAATCTTATTTTAAATAATTTATGATTAATACTACCTACAGATAGGGCTTGTAATGTAGCTAAATAAAGAAGAGCCAAGTTTTCTTCACTGTTATCAATAGTTAATCCAACTATTATGCCCTTCATAGTAGGATCCGCTAAAGGAGAACGATTCCCATGGAAATCTGGCCAGATATGGAAATCTTTGGTCAGTAAACTAACATCCGCAAGGCCTTTACTTTCTGCCATTTTTATTAACAGCTCTCTCAAATACTTTCTTACACTAAAATTATAAAAAATTATATGTTGCAAAATAATTCATAATAAAATAAACAATTTCAAAAAAACACATACTCTCCAGTATTCAAATTCTTCAAGAGATTTCCTCCCATAGGATGGCTTGAAATTACATGATCTAATAGCATGCCCGATGCACTTTGACCTGCTTCATTTAACCACATGTCAGGTACCATAGCGCTAAAGTAAGGACCCCATATTCCTTGAACACTTATAGGGTTCATATTAACAGCCATATGGCAGGTAGAGGTACCACAAATTAACCCTAACCTGGTGGACATCTGCTGGTCGATATTCTCTCCCTTTGTACCAATCATACCAAGACCCCCGGCATGAGCATCAATAATTGATGTGGCGACTGGTGTACCAGCTAAAAGACCCAATTTTTCTGCAACTTCTTCTCTTAGACCTCCACAATAATCTCCTGGCATTAACACCTTACTGCCAATCTTTTTAAAATTATCCTCAAGCAGATCATCTAGACCAATAGATTTTAGGAAATCAACATTCCAACCCTGTTTACCGTCTGTTGAATATTCATAATTCCACTTACATACCAATGAACATAGAGACCTTGTTGTGGCACCAGTCGCCTTCCAAGTCAGAAAATCTGGGAGATCAAAAAAGTAACCATATTCAGGCCAAGACTTAGACATATGTCTCTTTAACCAAAGTAGCTTAGGCATTTCCATTTCCAAACTAACTTTTCCACCAACATAGTTCAAGATATAATGGCCAGTTTTGTTGATAATATCAGCTTCTTCTTGCGCCCGATGATCCATCCACATAATGATATTCTGGTCATCATTGTTAGAGTTGCTGACAGCCTTTGGATTCCCATTATTATCCAAGACAACAAGAGAACATGTAGCATCAAATCCAATACCTTTTATAAATTCTTTATTAATGTCTTTAGTCATAATCTGAAAATATTTATATTTTAACTTGAAATATTTGAAAATATAATATAAATGTAATTTGAATTTGAAATTATAAATACATATAACTTAAAAATGTTTGCGAGATTTTTATCAAAGTTTTTCAGTGTAAGCTACGACATCAATTTAATAAATTAAAAGTAGTAAATTGGATGGTTTACCTTGATTACATTTTCACAACATTCCCATATATCATTCGAAGATTGTTCATAATAATCGACTTTTGGCCTCCACGTTTTCAAATTTTTGGCGGCTAATTTGATGACACGTCCTGTCGGATCAACTAACGCAGCACGTACACTCCCCGATCCAACATCTACCCCAATAAAATATACCGGATTCATAACTACGGTACCTTGAAGAATTCAAAATATCTAAATAAAAATAGTCTTAATTTTGTTTCTTTATGAAAGTGCTTTAAATTTAAATTAATTCAAAACACCTTGTCAAATGTGAATAATGATAATTATAGAATTCATGATAAAACTAGTAATAAAATATAAACTTATTGACCTTGGAGTAGGACTGCAGTATAAAAATCGATTTTTCATGAAATATATTAATCAAGTCTTGTTCATACTCTACTGCAATCGAATCGAGCTTTTAACGTCTCATAGAAACGTATCATTTTTATAATGATTACTTTATTTTTCTGTTGATTGCTCTAGTAAATATAAGTTCAAAACAACTTATTTCTTGAAAACCAAAAAAATTACAATGTTTATCCTAGTAGTATAATTGTTAAAGTTACTTACCAACTGAAAAAAATATCTATGGCGATGAGCTCTTTTAATCTGACTATTTATAGGCTGTTCTCAAAATCTACAAGCGGTTTAATACAGAAGAAAAGCAGAGTTTAACACAGAGGAATAAATATCAATTCCCTATAATATTTATATCTATTAAAAAAGTTATTTCATTTTTCATGTTAAGTTCTTATTTTCAATATGATAATCCTATATCTGAAATGATATAGAAATAAAAGACTTTGTTTATATTTACCATACTTATATAATTGTTAGAAAAATTGCAGAGTAGCGACAGAACCCAATATATCATATCGAAAGAAAATCGATATTTGTTTTAGATAAACATCCCTATTTCGAAGATAAGATGTTGATGGTACACAATCTCCATAACCTTTTTGTCCTTGGAATTACTTCAGAGAATAATATGTACGTTTGTGCATAATAATATGAATTTGTATGACATTTTACACTACAAAAACCTGTATTTGACTAAAAAATATGAAGTATTAATCAATTGAAACTAAAAAAAATACAAATCGATTTTTTTTAAATACCATATTTATTAAGATTAATAAGATTAGGTATACAATTTTTAGTTAATAACGTTTAAAAGTGAAATGTGTTTACAAAATTAATAGAAGAATTTTAAAAAGACATGTCAAACGGAGAATCGGCTTGTAGAAATCTAACTCTTTACAATCTTGTTCAATGTTCATATATATTCAAAGGCCACCAAGCCTTATGAACACATGGCACAATACGAAATATTAAGAAAACTATGCAATCGGTTTTGCAAACAGTAAAAAGAGGAGGTATATTGTGCTCTTGCTCTAAGGCTATTAAATACTGGAGCATCGTGTTATTAATTACCCTATCTTGCTTTACAATGTCTAAAGTTGTGAAAAAATTTCAATTTTGCCACTCATTGGAGATAGGACGGAATTGTAGTGAAGGAAATTTATTGCATGTAGGCAATGAAAAGATGGAATGAAGCTAGGAGTTGTGGTCAAGTTCCTTAGACATAATTTGTTTTAATTTAAAAATAAATTGCACCATACGAGGTGATACCGATTATTTAGCAGGGATTTTGTTAACTGTGCTGGAATTTATGTGTGCCAATGACAGATGTCAATATGATGTTATTGAAAGTTCAAGCATCAAACATGTGGTGATTTGAATTTCAAAAATGATAATAATTATATGTATTAAATGATAAAATTACAATTGCTGTGTTAAAAACGGATGTGTTTGTTTATATCTAAACACAATTTATGAATAAAACGACAACTTCCTTTTGTATTTAATAAAATGGTCCGATTTAAAAACAGGTAAATTATTACAAATGCATAGTATGTAGGTATGTATTTTTTTTAAAGCAGTTTATTGAGTTATTATTTTTACTTGTAGATATGTAACAGTAGAAATTAATGCACCAGCCATACCTGAAAACAAACCTCTTCACTTGAAGTCGAAAATATTTCATGACACCGTTATGGACAAAATACAACTTTTATACGGCGACTTCGGAGTTGCGGCTGTGAAAATGGGATTTCTAGCGAAATATTGCAATGAGAATACAAGAATAGCCATATTGAAATCAAGACATGGTCCTCATAAATTTGTGACAAGTGCCTTACCATTCGTAACTAAAATAGGTAAATTAGAAGTGAATTTAAGGACTCTACATGTTGGTGCTACTTTGAAACATAGTTTTATGTTCATCCAAAAGCATCAGAGAGCTTACTTGGACTCCATGTGGTCGGAGCTTAAAACTGACGAGGAAAGGAAAGCTTTGGAAAGTGCTGTTATGGACTTTAGTAAGACTGATGTAGCAATAAACTTAGAGTATCTTACATAATATTTTTATTAAGATAATAAATACATTAACAGTTATTGCAGTATTATTATTGAGTTATACAAATGATTTTTAATGACCTTTTTACCATTATAGGGTTAGTACAATCAAAAAACCTTTAAACTTGATTCCAAGTTTGAAATGGCTGCAATAAAACATTGTTAGTTTATTGTTTTAAAAATAGATAATACCTAATTACATTCCCAACAAAATACATTGGTCTTTTTCTATAGAATTAGAAAATATAAAAACTCCTTACATTTATATTATTATAAAGCTCCATATACTTCACTTATGCTATGCACATAATATATACAATTTATTTCTGTATAAGAATCATAAATCATGCTCAATAAAATAAATTACTCTTATTATAAAGAATTGTAACAATTTTTTTAAACCAAACTAAAGCATGTATTGTGTATATATTTTTAAATTCATTATACTTCTTACTCCGGAATGCTCAAGTACAATTTTTTTGTCAAAGTAGTTTTATATAGTGGTACTTGAAAGCTTTTTATTTTAGTGCATAAAGCTGTAACATTATTATTCACCTTAGTAAAAATGTCTAACAAATGTTCATATTTGGCTCTTTTCTTTATAAGTGCACAGATACATTGGATAAATATTGATCCTTTATCTTCTATTCTGAAAGCTTCATATTCAGGCGCAGTAGCCCAGTAGACCAGGAAATGTGCTTTTTTTAAATAGAAGTCATTTGAAGATGGCCCGTCTGCGACAATTTTATTTTTTACCTCCGAGTCGGCTTTTACTTGACAAGCTTGAAGGATGAGTACTTTTGGTATACCACGGAGATGATGGGCATGTTCAGAATCTAGTAAATTTTGTATATCATCCACTTTAATCCTGACCGAGTCCGCTGCATAAACATGGCCTCTTACACCATGAGAAAGTATGCACAGCATAAAAACACTGTCTCCAGCTGTGACGTGATATTTCAAGACATCTTTTATAAATTGAAAAACTTCTTCGTGATCTAGGTTAGATTTACTTTTTACTATGAAATTCAGTGATGTCATAGTTCTTTCTAAAGCCATAACATCCAACTTAGAACCCAAACGGTCTTCCAATTCAATGTGTTCATGGTCTTGTAAACTTTGTTTTGAAGGATAAAACTTGTCTTGGTTTATTATGCAACATACACCAATTCTTTTTCTATTTTTTATAGCATATGCATCTTTTAGTAGCGTTATGTCAGATTTTAAATTAATCCCCGGTTCGTCTTCATCATTGTGACACTGGTTCATGAGCTCAAAAATCTCATCAAAGCCCTCTTGATATTTGTCTTCTTTGATTTTCGACGGTCCGGGAATATTGTATTTTTCTATACTAGTAAAGTTCTGAGGTTTATTTTTTAAGTCCGGTGAATTTATTTGCTCTTGTATTTCCCTTAACACTGATGCTAATATATTGACTTTCGAAAATTTTTCAATAATTTTCGCAAGCTCTTCAATGTCGTAGGTATTGGTGTAAGATTTTTTTTCTTTATCGTAATATCCCAATTTAATAAACCTTTTTGATATAAGTTCCAATAAAATTAATTCACATGTTTTATATTCAGCTACATTATAATTGTATGATATAAGTGTCTTTTGTAATTTAGAAAATATTTCAGAATTTAAACTTTCACAAAGTTTATATAGAACTTTCTTCATGGGATCTATATAAATGCTGACATTCAGATTGTCTGGTAAATAGTGTTTCTTAACTTGTGAGACATCAAATCCAAGTTTTCTTATAATATTGTATAATCTACAAATAGTAAGAGCCTCCAGAAATTCATACTTCCAAGTTTGTGATGATTGTGCATGAAGTGCCCAGTCATAGAGCAGGTTAATACTATGGCATGCTTCGTCATTAGATAGCCTCTGATAAACAATTAATCTCTGAAGTGCAGTATCTGGGGTATCGTACAATAAGAACACCAAAGAAACCATATCATAAGGATCAATATCTTTTTGTATTTCCAATATTATGTCGACACGTAGATTATTAATATTACGAAATATGTTATTATTATCATTCTGTGTTTGAGCATCAGAACGCAACATTGTTAAAAAATATAAATAGTTACTATTATACCAATTTTACAAGTAATGTGTTTCTGATGAAGGGTGTGTATTATGTAAAAAAATATTTATTCCACCATACTATAAATAAAAAGGGACTTCACCCTACTTATCAATAATAACACTTATCCATGTTAATACACATCCACCGATAGCGAAAGGCTTATGCAAATACTTTCTAGCTAACAAAAATAAAGGAATTACAATAATATTCACTGTTAAATTAATTCTATGGCACTTAGTTTAAACTTTAAAGTAATCCTATACAATATACATTATTGCTTTTCTATGCTATGACTTCATGTCGCTGGTTTTTAATAAGTCATTGTCAGACGTCAATAGCCCAATAACAAATAAGGATGACAGTATAAAAACAAGGTGAGCACGTAGGTGAGAAGATTCTATATATTGAAATATAATACCTACTGAGTAATATTCAACATTATTATGAAAAACATTTATAAATAAAAACATATTTTTTAAGTTTTTACTTCGTGATTATATTATTTAACATTTGAATCAAAAATGCGGAACGCTGCATGGTTTTGCTTTTTATCCCATACTAATTTCAAAACAGCATTATATATGTATTTTATTTAATATTTTATTTTATTTTATTTGGATAACGAAAAAAAAAACATTATTAAATTCATTTCATTATCAAACTATTAACAATAATTTAAATGTCCTTTTAATTATAGGCTATCACATCATACAAAACTATAATAATTATAGTACATATATCAAGATTTAAATTAAAAAAAAAGCAAAAATAATAAATTCATTAAAACTTAAACTTAAAATAATATTTTAATGACTAACATTGACATAACTAATAACATTATTATAACTCGTAAGTCGTAACTCAAAGAGAATTTATGGGGATAGTATCAATCAGCATTTCGTAATCAATATAAATAAAGATTAATCTGATTTGAAACATTATAAATGAAATTAAATTATTTTAAAATAATATTTTTTCATCTATTACAAATTCTATAAAAAGTGACTACTTTCCATTCTACTAAGTGAACCTCTGTATTGTTGTAGCCACTAGCAGTGTCATTCTGACTACTGTCATCCTAAATTTGATTGACGTTTTAAACTTTGTAGGTTACTAAATACAAATTATATTGAAATTTTAGCCATATACCTACCTACCCAAAATATTTAACAAAATCAATGTAATAGGGTGTAATATGTCAGCTTCAAGAACAGATGTATTGAAATTATATAAAAATCTGATATTATATTCTAAAACATTGAGGTTTACGGACGTTAATTATTTTAAAAGACGAATCAGAAGTGAGTTTAAAAAAAATAAGACATTAAATAACTCAGAAGATATAAGTTACGCAATTAAGGTAATTTAAATTTGATTTCACATCATTATATGTATTACCACAATATTAGCACTGATGGTTAAAATGATAACTGTTTGTAATTACAGAAAGGCGAAGCTTTAATTCAACGGGGTAGTGTCGTATAAAATGCTGACATTCAGAATTTTAAACAATGTACAAAGGAGCATTGCAGCCTTTCAAAAGAATTGTTCCGCATTAAAACATACCATAGATGTCTCTAAAGTACCAAAAATTAATGAATGTGATCTAACAGAACAATTTGTTAGAGGATCAGGGCCAGGGGGTTCAGCAGTTAATAAAAATTCTAATTGTGTCGTTTTGACACATATACCTACAGGTACACATATAAATTGATTCATCTCAATGGCAAATAGCATATGGTGTTTTTTTTTACCTGCTAAATACTTCGATCTCATCAAATTATATTTGTTAACACATAATTTTGGATGTCATTCTTCCCATTTATAAATTTTTATCTAAAAGATTTGTATTGTCTGTATGTACCATTTTATAGTACGGAGTGAGTTTAACAGAACTATGGTATAAATATGAAAATTTGTTAAATGTTTTGGTAAACAAAAAATTATAATACTGAATTAGTGATTATAGCCACAGATTATTATGCACTTAATTGTATTTTTGAATAGTACATTTTATACTTTTTTATTGTATTTTTGTAGGTATTGTTATAAAATGTCACACCAGTCGTAGTCAAGATGAAAATAGAAAAATGGCAAGGGACATGCTGATAGCTAAGTTAGACGATATTATTAATGGTGAGAATAGTGTAGAGTCCCAGAAGAAAAGGATCGAAGAGAATAGATACAAAAAAGTTGAATATAAAAAAAAGAAGAGAGCTGAAATCAAAGAGAAATGGAAAAAACGTGAAGGCCTCATATAACGAACATAGAGTTGTATATATAATTTAGATGTTGTAGGATTTATTAAAGCAATATGGTTTATAATAAAAAAAATCATACATTAATATTTTTTTTTATTTTTACATCTCATTGTGACAAAAATACTACATGTTTTGTTTTTATTAAAGAATCATATACAATAACACCTATAAACAATCTATAATTATTTTTCTATCTGTAAGAATATATTCTGAGACAAATTTGTTCTACTATAGTTTCTTTAAGAACCTTTTCTTGGAAGCCTGTGTGTCTGAAAGCTTGTACATCCCCATTTTTAAGATAACTTATGGTTTATTTGATATGTTTATCCTTAGAACATTAGTGAGTTGTTTAAAATATGAAATTCATCTGTGCAAAGACATGCACAGTATATTCTGCTATTGTTGTATAGAAAGGAGGAGACACTTCTTAGAACATTAGTAATATTATTTATAATTTATGTATGCTATTAAAAAAGTCTGTTCTAGATAATTTCATGTTTTAAATTGACAAAATCTCAAACAGTAAAATTTATAACTAAAAATATTATGTGATAATGTGGTTAAGTAAAAAGCATTAACATTGAATTTTTAATACTACTCAGGTTGACAAAATAATGGGAAGGATAAAATTTTAGTGTTAAGTTTTATTTCTAAATAACCTTAACTTACTTGAATTATGTTATAAGTACTTATCCATACAAATGTTAAAGATATTTATATACCTAATAGTATCTTTACCAATATTATAAGAGAGAGATCGGGATATTTGATACTCTTCCCAGTTCCCATAAAAAAGTATTTGAAACACGTTGTGATTTTTACGAAGTCTCGTGATATCGACGTTAGATGGCGGTGCGTGTAGCTGACCATATTTCTAATAACAAATTCGATTATCTTGGTAAGGTTAATTTGAATTATTTTATATTTAACGTTGCTTATCTATATAAGTACCTATGTGTACGTCACCCCCAGCCACGATTCCAATTTATTATACGTCAAGTTTTCATTATTTTCTACTCGCCCGTTAACCTACGCCACTATGGAACCAGAATATAATTCTGATAAAGGCCAAGTTCCTATACATATTTAGAAATAAATAATAAATGTCCTAAATAGGTATTAATTGACTGAGTTATTTGGATAGGCAAAGATAGATGGGTTTTCTAAATAGCTCTGTCTGGATTTAAAGGGTAGGCTTAGCGATGAAGAAAAGCGTTTCTTAATTGTGTTTCTGAGCTCGGTCAAAAAACTTAGAAGTTGTAGGAATATCATTTTCGCTTTTATAGGCAAATATTTAAATTTATTCCTGATTTCTTGACAAGTAAATTGACGATTCCACGTCTACGTTCTCTATTTCATTTGAAAATCTTTTGAAACGAAAAATAATCTAGTTAGATTGTTTAGCTTCCAAATACCGAACTAGAAAAGCTAAAAATAAATTGTAAAAAGAAATTAAGTTTTTTTAGTAGACTTATCATATTGTACTTTTATTATTCAGACAAATAAAAACAGCGAGTTTGCCTGCAGAAGAGATTTTTGTCTGTTTCTTTTTAATCACAAAACTGCTTTAAATTCTTTAGACTTAATTTAACACTACAATTAAAAGGTACAACGACCTCGTTAATACTATTTTGTTGCACATATTTATTGGTTACAGAAATAATATTTTAAACTGTACTGCACTTTGTTCTGTTTTGTTGCAAAACTGGTGCAGAAGTTGCTCTTTAACAATTCTTTCTTAATTCATGAAAACGATCCAGGAATAAAACCTTATATTTCTGTGAGTTAGACTTAGGTATATAACATTAAAATCGCACTTCTTTCGATGAATTTTCAATAGAATCGAATTATATCGAAGATTTTTGCTTTTAAAAGTAAATCTGACAAAAAATGTAGATATTTAAAATTTTCTTTATATATAGCCACTATTCATTAAGATTACAAAATAACAGTTCAACATTTGTGCCATCTAATATCCGTACAATACATAGTCAGAGTGCCACAAATGCAATTTGTAGTTCCGAAGTATGCAAATTATGTTGTGAACTAACATAAATGATACCACGAAATAGGAATAATAGTTTAGGTACATTAAAAATGCTTTATACAGATTATATTAATACTTATTTCACATCTTTCTATTTAAAAAATTACACATAATTAATATTGTGTTTATTAAACTCGAATTAATCGATTATAGGCAATGCTTTCGAGATTATCTGCCGTTTGGAAAATGTAACTGAAATTATCAAATTAATTTTGTCACGTTGTAAACAAATATGAAAATATCACATTTCTGATAATTATAATTACCGTGTTATGTTCATTTATAACGACGATGATATTATTAATTTCTATAATGGAATAACGTGTAAAACGGTGCGGCGACCGGAAAATGCTACATCTTCGCCTCTGGGCTTCGGGTCGTACATTACTTTACATTACTCGACCATTCTTAATGAGATTTCTCCGTATTTGTTAGTAATAAAATGTAAGAATATGAAAGAAATATAAGGTAGCTGTAAGACTAAATTAATTAAATATTAATATTTGATTGAGATTCCGTCTCATGTAATAAAATTACAATATGTATTTCTATTACGAGTATTATACCTTAAAAAAACTTTTGCCAGAGAGTTTATTTATAAGTGTATTTTTTTTAAATTCATAATAATTTTAGTCTACGACTCTTTAAATTGTAAACTCAAATATGCAAGTGTGTGTGAGTGTTTCTGTGTATACACAAGTGTTTATTTCAAAAAATTATGCGACACTATAAAGCAAATATGCGAAAACGTTGTGTTTGAGTGTCTGTATCTAATAGCTTAGAAAAAAGGTTTTAAATTTTTACACACACCACGCTACGTTTGAGTTGAGTGAGGTATTTATAAAGCAAGGATATCATAGTAGACCAGTGCCGAAAGCTTTTAAAACATAATTAAATTATATGTAGTAGAATGAAACTCATTAGAAGAGGAGGTTAATATTATGAAAATTAAAGGAAAAATGATTTACGGGCGATCTGAGGTCGGGAAGGATATGGGGATAAAAATACCTTAAACTTTTATTCTAACTTTTATTCTAAAATTTATCTGAAAAATTCAAAAAACCTAGTTTTTTGTTTTTTATTTTTATCTCTTCCAAAAAACAATGTTTTGCCTATAGAGATTTACAATTTTTGTAGATTTTTGAAGAGTTGTCAAAATTTTAAAATATTTGGCCCAATGATTATAAATATGCAGTAAAAATGTGCTGAAAATGTCACTCTTACAATATCGCAGGAATAACATTTTCAATTAAATGTTTAAAATCTTAATTTATTTTGGAACACCTTTTCATAGCCTTGATGATTTTCTGTGTGTAATTTACATCGCAACGTGTGCTTTCATGTCTTGCTATTTGTGAATCCGCATGCATGGTAATATTATTATATTATTTATTTATTTATTTTGTTAGATCACCAACAAGAATACACACCAAGAACATATCAGATACATGGATATAAAAAATAAAACTGGTGGCATTTTAATTAAAGGTGATAACAGCATGCACAAGAAAATAACAATTCAAAATTAGGCGACAACAAGCAGAAAAAAATAAAAAAAAAACCCAATTAACTAACAAACAACAATTTAATTATATTCTATGTTAAATATTTTATATTTATTCTATGCTAAATATTATATGTATTATATTCTTTATTGAATATATATGTTTATTGATATATAGTGAACCAAACAACAAAGTACAAAAATAGAGAAAAAAAGACCGTCTTTACCGACTTATAAGTTCTATCAGCCAAGTTCAGTGCTAAAGAGTATTGATTTTTTTTACTAGAGAGGTTTAACTGATGAAACAATTCAAAAGACCCAAATGTACACATGCACTGAAATTTTACATAGCAAATAATTAATTTGTAATGAGTACTACTTAATATACTAAACAATACATATAAAAATCGCAGAAAAAACTATTTCTTTTGTTTACTTAAAATAAAAGATTGCACTATGTACGTTTATCCACATTGAGAGAACATATAACTTCTTTGTGAATGTACACAATGTGAAAAAAATTGGTTGAAACGCTTTTAAATTCATCAGCAATTTTTTAAACACAAAATTTTCTAGTATGAGCAGTACGGTTATTAATGTATCACATTTCTGAAACGAAAGAAATAATGCTATTAAAAATATATCATTACTTTAATTGTACACAACTCTCTCATAGACTTTTTATATTAACTAAGAAATTGTTTAATTCATGCATTTATTTTAAGAAACTGGAATAGGACAAATTCGTCACAATATATACAACAAATTCGTCACAACTTAAATATATTTTTTATTTTACTTGGGCTCGTTATTTTTAAGACATAAATAAAAAGCACCAATTGGTAAATGTATTTAATTAAAAATATCAATGTCATTACACCTACAATTTCTAAATATGGGTAAGGAATTAAATATGTATGTACATTATATGTAGTAGTTAAAAAACAATGATTAAATATGTTCTTTAAGGAATGCGAAATCTTTTCCCAAAAATGTTTATATTACTAATGTTTTAAGAAATATTTATCCCCTATAATATTTGGTACAAATGATTTTGGCATCTCACACTAAGTGTGTGACCTAATTGGATTCCTTCTAGATTCATCATTTACTTTTACCTTTCCAATTTTTTAAAATACATATACAGGGTGACTGGTGAATTACTATCAATATTTAAGGAGCATACTCGGTACATGATTGTCATTCGAATTATGTAAAAAAATAGGTACTTAATTTTTGACAAAATTTCCGTATAAATAAATAAAGTGTGTACACGTTCCAAGTGTTCCAAGTGTGGACGCGTGCGGCGGCGTGCTGATACAAAACCACGCCCCCGCCGCGCGTGTGTGAGTGTGTGTGTATACCTAATCTGTAGGGTGTTCATACGATGCGTAATTAATTACATAACTTTTGGTTAACTTTACTCAGAAGTTTATTAATATTTATGTT